CGGTCGCTGCGGAGGGGCCGAGGCTGCCGAGGGCGAAGCCACCCGCTGCGGAGCATACGGGTCCGCCGGAGCTGCGCCGTAACCGGTGTTGTATCCAGTAGACATTTGCGGGACGGCGGCGCTGAAAGACTGGGAATGAGCCGGCGGTGCTGAGGGAGCGTAAGGATCCACAGGAGCGGAAGGCGGCAGAGGCGCAGCCTGTACACTCGGCGAAGAACGGGGCGGAGGCTCGGTCGTCTTGGCGCGGCGGGGTGATCCAGATGGCGGGGCTGGCGGCGGAGCAGACGAAGGCGGGGCGTCCGGGCCGGGAACAAAGTTGCCCAGCGGAGCCACTTGTACGGCTGATCCAGGACGACCGATGAAGCTCTTCTTGGGCCGGAGTGGAGGGTCATAGGCGTCCGACTTTGACGGGCGCTTCAGCGGCTCTGGCTTCTTGGGCGGGGACAGAGTGGCTGACGGGCCTGCAGGGGGAACAGAGGCGCCATATCCACCAACCGCCGGCGCAGCGGGCGCATACGGGTCATAAGGCGTAGCAGTCGGGGTAGCGGCGTAAGGCTGAGCCGCGTAAGGCTGAGCCGCGTAGCCCATGGCCGGAGTGAACGCCGACGCCGTCGCGGCCGCGGGAGTCGCACTGTAACCGTACCCGCTGACCTGCCCAGTCGCGGGGGTGTACATGCCCCCTGCAGCAGACGTTGCAGGTTGTTGGTACGACGAGTACGAGCCAGAGGTGGAGCGATATCCTTGCGTGGCCGGCGTGGGAGCATACGGGTTGGCGACAGGCTGGGACGGCGCATAGGGATCGGCGGGGGCAGGAGCGTAGGGATTCGCCGGAGCGCTCGTTGAAGGGGCCGCAGGCGCATAGGGATCCTGCTCCGTGTGCGCCGGCGTCTTGCGGGCCTGATTCTCATCCGCAACCTTGAGTGAGCCGTCCGCAATCATTGATTCCCGAACAGCCTCCCGCTCCTCCTCGGTGTACCAGTTCCAGTTGCCTGCATCGTCGTACCAGCCTTGGGGAACTTCAGCATCGTTGACCGCCGACGATGACATGAGATCGGAAGAGGGGTCGTTGCCGCCGACCTGGAAGGATTCGTCAATGCTGGTGTCGTTGAGGAAGTAGTCGTCAGGTTCTGAGAAGAGACTGGACACGTCACGCTTTTTCTCCGCGCCCGGTTGGGATCGCGCCGGGTCACTGGTCGTGCGCGGGTCGCTAGGACCGTCGGTAGACTCAGACTGGCCAATGTTGAAGGCGTCGTCACCCTCGTCACCAAAGAGTTTCGAGGCGTCCGAAGAAGCAGGCGCCTTGTCCGTCGAAGCTGGCAGAGGTGAGTCGTCCTCCTCACCTGGAATATCAAAGTCGACCTGATCGTCGGTGTCGAAGAGGGAGATTGGACGACGAGTTCGCCGATTCTCGGCCTCCCGTGGCTTCAGCTCGGCGACCTGGTCGGCGTCCTGCTGATCTCCTCCCACTGCGAACTCATCATCATGCTGACTGTCATCAGAGAACAGGGCACTGGCTGCTGGCTTTTCCTCCTTTGGGGCGGGCGCACTTCTGGCTGCAGGCTTAGCTTCGTCAGCTCCGATGTCGAAAAGGTCGTCGTTGCCATCGTTGGACAGCAGAGAAGCCGCACTTCGAGGCTGACCCTGGGGCTCGGCCTCCGCATCTTGAGCCGAAGCGGACTTCTTAGGCGGTTCAGAGGTTGAGAGCTTTCCAGCATCGTCAGCCACCTCTGTTTGTTGGTGAATGTCCTGAGGCTGCTCAGAGGAAGGCTCGTCGCCCTGGATTGCGAATGCGTCCTCCCCGTCATCGTCCGCAAAGAGAGCAGCAGCAGATTTGGCGGGCGCCTCGTCCTTGGGCTTTACAGCCTCAACTGGTGTCGGCTTCGCCTCATCCTTCTGCTCCTTCTCCGTCGCTTTCGGGATATCCGAATCGGCTGGCTTGTCGGCAGCTAAGCCGGTGGCAGTCGAAGCGGCAGCGGCAGCCTGCTCTTCGTGCTTCGTCCCGATAGCATCAAGGGTAGCGTCAAGAGTGGCCGTGCTGTCGAAGGCTGCCTCCTCAACGTCATCATCGACTAGCGGAGGTGCCGGAACGCCTGGACCGATGGACGGAGGAGGAGTAGAAGATGTCGGGACGGCGGGTGGAGGGGCCTCGAAGATGTTGTCCTGCTTGTTGTCACTGATCAGGAACGCCATGTCCTCTGCATCGTCGACGAACAGGGAAGACGCCTGAGGAGGCATGGGCGCTGGTACTCCGAGCTGAGGCTGGTGACCAAGGCCTCCTTCCACATGGTCACCAAAGTTGGGCTGTTCCTCTTCGGGAGACACGCTTTGACTTTCGGGCTTCAAGACATTGCGTTCGGACCCAGCTGGCTTCGTCGTAGCTGGTGCACTCGCGGGTTCAGTAGGGACGCTGGCGGCCTCGGGAGCCGGTTCAGGAGCCTTCTCGCCGCTCTTGGGGGTGACCTCGGTCGCTGGTGCAGTTGGGGCGGTGACGTCGGGAGACTTAGAGTCGGCCACAGGTTGCACTTGCGCAACTGGGGCAGGTTGCTCGGTCGTCGTCGTCGTCGAGAGTGCAGGGGGTGCTGCAGGAAGCGTTGAGACAGACGCCTTCTTGTTCTTTTTCTTCTTCTTTTTGGACGACGATCCGCCCTGTGCAGGTGCAGGTGCCGGAGGTGGAACCTGCGCTTGGGCTGGTGCGGTCTGGGGCTGAGGCTTAGACCCATCTTTTGGGACAGGAACGCTGGGGTCTGGTGCGTGCTGGCCTTGCGCCGGGTTGTCGGCGGTCGGCGGTGCACTCATTGTCCCGTTGGCCGACGATGGGCGGGGGTGTGTTGTCGGGGTTGGAAGAGGGAGTGTGAGAGTTGGGGACAAGGAGTGGTGGTGTGATGACGGAGTGGATCGGTGAGTGTGCCCCTGGCTGTGTGGTGCTCTGGTTCGGCTGGTGGTGGTGGTGGATCAGTGGCTCATGGCTGAGCGCTAGTCGCCGAATGACAGGCCGGGGCTGGGTAAACCAGGACGCGGATGACACGTCCCTTAGAGCCAGCCAGCCAGGTGCAGGGGGAGACTTGGGCAAGTGATGCATCGGTGGAGGTACGGAGGGTCACGGGTGGTGGTGGAGGTGACGCATCACCGTGAGCTTAGCTTGTGCAGTGACGACGATCTGTGATTGGGGAAGGAACCGTCGTCTGCGTGCCTGGTGTCCTCTCACATGAGAGCCAACAAGAGACCACGAGCCATCCCCATCATCATTACTGCGGCATCACCTTGTAGCGCGCGATATTAGTGCAGGGTCTGCCGGCCACCCACTTGACCGGTCCCCCCATCGCTCTAATCAACCCCCCATCCCACCAGACTAATACCCATGGACGAGGTTATTACCTCTCTGCGCGCTCAGCGGGGCGGGGGTGCCACACCGCTTCTCACTCCGGCACGTCGGGATTTCACCCTGACCAGCCTGGGGCGTTCACGAAGCGCACATTAGCGTGCACCGTACTACGCACACCGTACGACCGGCGACCGCGTCTGAGCGACTCTCACCCAACCTACAGGGAAAGGGCCGGAGGCACGAGCTCATGTCCGTGTAATATAGCCCTATCAGATTTTGATCCCGTGCGCATTTCGTTGGCTGGGCCCTTGGCCGGGCTGGATGCTGCCGCCCAGTGCGCCACGCTGCTAAAGATGGCAATCGACTCCGTCGTGTTACTCATCAACACCCATTCGAGGTCAACAGAGTCGCATTCCCAGCGCTCTGCCCTCTTCTCTTCTCTCCCTCTCCACCACGCCTCGCCGCTCCATCAGGCAGTCGTCTCGCTCCGGATCACCAGGACTCGACATCCCATCGACCCAGGCTTGTTTCCGATCGATCTCGACTTCTTTTGCCGCGACCTGACACGAGTGGAGAACTTTTTGTTGGTTGCGTGTCACCATCGCACCGCGCAGCCATCCCTCTCCGGATTCGGGTTGAACTTTGTGTTGAGCCACTCGGTCACCGTGTGACTCGTGAGGACGAGGATGATGATCATGTTGACGCCGAGGAACCAGAGCACGACGTGCGTGCGGAAGTTGCGGTCCGCGTCTGCGCGCTTCGTCTCCTGCGAGCGCATCGCTGACGAGCGCAGGTGAACTGGTGAGCGTCGCCGACAGCCGACAGCAACTGACCGCAGGGGTATCTATGACCGCAAGTTTCCCCCGCAGAAAATCCCGCAGCAGCACCTCACACACATCAACTATGCTTTCGCCAACGTGAACAAGGACTCGGGCGAGGTCCATCTTAGCGACAAGTGGGCGGACGTCGAGGTGAGTTGGTCGTGCCGTGGACAGGTATAGTTTCTTGTGATCACTATCTCGAACGTGCTCTCGCGTCGCCTGATCTGAGTCTCGCTTTGGACCAGAGTTTTGACTGGACCGACCTTCGAATCGGACCGGACACTCTTGACCGGCTAACTCAGCACACGCGATCTGAAACGCGGATCGAGTTTTTGAGAACCCTCTCTGGTTGCGTGGTGTGTGTCTCGCGCACCACATCCTCCGCGCGGCGCATCCACGCCGTTGCATCTTCAAAAAGGGACCTACGACACTGTCGAACCCCCCCTCCAACAACCTGCATAGCACGTCTATTCGGGCTTGGTGACTAAGTGTCTCGGCTCACACGGCTTCTTTCAGAGTCATTAGCTGACCGCTTACCGCCACCGACTAGAGCGGTTGCATCCTCCTTGCCACCGCTAGAGAGTTGAGCATCGCGCTCCTCCGCCCTCCCACACCCCGTGCGACGCTTGCACACGCCCCTGTGCTATCGTGCGCACGACCTCTTACCCCCTATATAATCGACTTTCCTTTGAATCGACATCTTTCCCTCGGACCTCTCGTGAGACGCTTTCTGTACGGACACTTCCATCAGCACACCGTACATTCACCTCCCGTCTCTCGACCCGACCGGGGGCAGCCAACTGCTGCTGGCTGCTTGTCCTTTCGATCTTTGCTTCCAACACCAGCTGTCGGATACGATGAACCAGTTCCGAATGGATCATCACCAGCAGTCAATCCCCTTCGGGGTCGACGACAGCTATCGATGGAGCAGCTTGGCCAGGGCTCCCGCTCGACTGCCTAACCAGAACATCAACCGATGGGCCGGCGCACCCAACGCCAACGACTGCCAGCGCCCTTGGGGTCCGTCCTCCGCCATCGGTACGCATCGTTCTCATGCGGCCGACAAGCTATCTATCGGTTCTGGATTACGCCCTGGTTCAGATAGGATCGCGCAGCTTCCCAGCGTCACGTCCGGCAAGTCGCAGCGTCTCGCACCACCTCTCTCCGTCCGAGTCCTCTCCGCTACGCACTCTGCATCCTTGATGTCTAGCCCCTGCACTCCTGACGTCGTTGGCGAGAGCTTCACTCCCGGAGGTCTCTTCGATGACGCTGATGACGAGTGGGACGGTCTCCCTATCACCCCTGCCGAGCAGCAGGGTGACGCCATGGCGACGCCCGAATCTGATGAATGGCGCTCCGCTTCGTGCATCTGTAGCGACAAGTCTTCCTCCGGCACCACCTTTGCTGGCATGGCCACGCCTAGCGCAACGGCCTCTCTGGCGACCTCGACCTCTGAAGGCAACGCAATCGGGTGGCCCCTTCACCGCTCGGTCGTCGCGGGTCAAGCTAAACACGTGCTGTCCGGTGAGCCCACGCAGAAGCTCGACCTTGCATCAAGTAACGATTGCGCCGTCACCCCTGAGATCATTTTGGGTAACGTGGGTAGTCATGAGAAAGTGGAGGCTGATGAGAAGCTTCAGACCGACCTTTCCAGCGTCGTGCCTGCAATTTTCTGCCAGCCCACTACTGCTACCAGTGTCGACGCAGTTGAGGATTGCGACGCGATTGACGAGATCATAATTGTGTCCACTCCACCTATCGACCTGGAGGAGGATGCGGCCGAGATCTTGGAGGGCAAGCGAGTCGTCATTGCCAGAGCGCATGCATGCGCACACGACCTTTGCGATTGTGTCGGTGGTGGCAATTCTGCGTCACCCACCGAGATTTTTGGACGTGTTTCTCACCATGACGTCAACCTTTGCCACTCCACCGGCTGTGACCAACAATTCCATCTCGAGACCTGTGACGCAGTCACACATCGCCCGGGCGCCTGCAATATATCATCCGCAGCGTTCGACGATTTCCCTGCTGAATCCACCTTCCTCCCTGCCAACTTCTTCGAGGACGACGCCTCGGACACCGTGAACTCCGACTTGACTTCTCTAGTCAATGTTCAGAAGCCCGCCTTGAAGAACTTCGGTCTGGCCGGCACCAGTGTCGGCCCGGTCCTTTCGAGCAACACGAGAATGCACTTCTCTGCGCGCGAGGGCCTCCCTCCGTCCTCAGCTTGGCAGCTGGATTACTCGAGCGGATCTGCGGATCCCATTCCAGAGCTCGTCGACCTGTCCCCCGCTGCGGCCCAGCTGTTCAAGGTTCTTGACATCGCCACCGAACCCTCCGACGATGAGTCATCAGTCTGCGGAAAGGACACGCGATCTCTCCTCGCCTCCGATGCGGCCCCCCTGGCCTCACCTGTCTCGTGGTCGTCTCAGACTTCCGAGGATGGCCGTTGCCCGCCCTCCCTTTCCACGATCCACTCTTTCAAGTCGGAGGAGCTCGTGGAGAACGCGGTAAATCCTTCCAAGCAGCCAGCTACGTCCTCGATAGCCGTCACTGCTGTCGATGAGTCGCTCCTCTTCACCGACGCTTCCTTTGCCACTGGCTGTTCGGAACTGGCTGCTCCTCAGCCACGGCCCATCCCCAAGTACCTATCCTCTGTTACCGCTGGTAGCGACTTCCGCCACTTACTCGGCCACTGGCTTGCGTCGTACGTAATTGGCCGTCTTGCTCATCGCGAGGCGGTTGGTTCCGGCAACATTGCCTCCGAGTGGACTCGTCAAGCAGTCTACGCACGGGAAACGGAGCGCACTCAGCAAGTTCCCAGCTCAAACTCCGAGTACACATTCTACAGCCCCAGGCCGACCCCCCGAGCGGTCGACCGCACTTCAGGACGATTCGCTGACGACCCCTACGATGTGTTGAAGCGCCACGGCATTGTCACCGCGGCTCCGAACATGGCCTTCGTTCAGATCGTCACAGAGTTCATCGTTCGCCGCAGGATCCCAGCTGAAACCATCGTCGCAGCAGCGTGGTTTGTTGACAACCTGCCTGTGCATGACGTTGATGGAGACCTGGGATTCTCCCTCCGCGGAGCGCTGTGCGTCTCCAATGGTGAGCCGTTTGCAGTTGAGCGCCGCCTCGCCATGATCGCTCTTTATCTGGCAGACATGTCGATCTCCGATTTCAACTACAACCTCGCCAGCTGGTCCAACGCATTTGGTGTGCCCAAGGCAAACGCTGTCTGCATCGAGCGTGAGGCTCTGGCTAGCTTGGGTTACTCGGTGTCGATCCCCATCCAGTCCTGGCGTGATCACTGCAAGAACGTTTACTCTCTCTTCACGCGAGCGACTTTCTTGCCGGGTGTGTCTACATTGTCGCTGGGCACCATGCACACGATGGTTCAGACTGCCCGAGGTGTCGCTGAGGACGCCGCCGAGGATGTGGAAATCTTCCGTCGTCGTCAGAAGACCGATCTTGACAACGACGCGATCGCTTCCCTTCGTCGCTTTCAGTCACACATCGACGTCTCCAAGATGCCCATGCAGGCTCCCCTCCCCACGTGCAACTCTGTCTACCACACCCCTGATTCCGATCAGGAGAATGTTGCTCCGCCCCCTGCCCAGAATGATGAGGACGAGGAAGAGGAGGAATTCGCCCCCTACGATGGCGCACCTTCCTTCCCTGTTCCCAAGTTCCCCAAGCAAGTGGAGGCGCCGCCGCCTGGGTCTGCGCTCCCTACCCCGCCTTACGATGGAGCCGACAGCTTCCCGGAGCCTGTTTTCGAGCACAATGATGGGCAGGACCACTTCCACAAGGTCACCCTGCTCGCCGATCCTTCTCCCAAGGCTAAGGTTGCCGACTGGCTGCACCACGATCAAGACGACGATGAGGACGACAACTCGTACGAGGAATACGACGGTGCTGCGCCATTCCCGGACCCAGTGCCTCTCGAGCGTAAGGCGCCAAAGTACACAATGTCCATGCCCGTCGCCATCTCCTCTTTGTCTCGTTCTCCCGTCCCCAACCACCAGGCGCACGTTCCCAAACGTGCGCGCTACGCGTCCTCACCCCGGCATGTCCCTGTCGCGTCGTGGCCGTTGGACCCAAGTCTGCCCAGCCGGCCACCCACAACGCAGCAGCGCATGTCATACGCAACCCTCTCTCGTGGGTACTCGCCCTACTACCCTCAGGACCAGCAACTGCTCCGCAAGACTCTTTCTGCGCAACCTAAATTTTTTTCTTCCGAGGCTCCTCACCACCTCACTCGGGAGCAGCTGCGATCTCTGGCAGTGGAGCACCACCCACGCCCCGTTCGAGCGCCCTACATTAACGGCGTCGCGATCAACCACGGTCGCGTTGATGCCTTGGAGGCAGCGATCGAACACTCGACCAAGAACTTTGCTCATGGATACCCGACCGATCACGGTCTGGCCTCAGAGGCTCTTCTCCCCACTTTAATCACTGCTATAATCAATGCGGCTGCGGAGCTCGAGCCTTTGAAAGAGGCCCCGGAGCCGGTCGCCCGACCCTCGACGCTTGCGTCGATGACGACGGTGGCCTAATCCTCGGTCACACTTAATACCTCTTCTTTCCTCAACATTCACTTTTTTACTTTTCGTTCTCTTCTTTTTTATCAACACAATTCCCCGCTTTCCGTAAAGAAGCTCGTTTTGAGCTTGCGCCAGCGCGCCCAGTGCTCGTTACAGCGGAGCGCGACCGTGGTCTCTGTCATTTTCTCCTCATAGACGACAGCAGACCCGCATGCCAATACAGCATTGAAAACCCACCAAAAAAAGTTGATAATAACCCCAAACTGAGAAAGGTTCTGGTTTTTCTCGACCAAAAACAACTTAGCTCTTTTGCGAAAATCATCAAACTTGGGCGGTCCGCGCCCCGGTGTGCATCGGGAGTGCATGGCGCGGTCGTCACTTGCTATGCATAGTCGTGTGTAGCACCAGAAGTAGTAGCAGAACATTCAGCAATGGCCACTGAACAATCGATGTGGAGGTTAGCCTCCTCCACCTGAGTGTTGCCGTTCAAGCGCACACACCTTACCGAAGCACCGCCAAGACGCCCCCCTGTCTCATCCGGATCCGAGCGTGCCAACCGAGCATTGATCCCGACTGATAGCCCTGTCCGGACACGCTGACACGCTGCACTGATAACACCTCAGCTCTGCGATGCACTCATCATGCCTACTCACTATCACCATGTCGCCACCCACCCCAGCAGCAACAACTGCGGATCACCCTAGTGCGGCAATGAAGATCCCCTATGACTCGTACCCGCACGTCATCGAGTCCATCGTCGCCTACTCCGACTACGAGACTCTCCTCTCCTTCCGCGCAACGTGTTCCGCCCTCAAGACCACAGCCCACAAGACGCTGTGCGAGGGCGAGCTCTTCGTCTCGATCAAGGACCACCCCGGAGGTCTCGACGGCTGGGTGCAGGACATCGAGACAGACCTGCAGGCGAAGCGCGAGCCCGTCTGGCGGGAAGTCGTGCTGCGGAGCGACAAGGGAGTGCTCCCCTTCCGCACCGAGGCCGACTGGGCGTTCGCATGCAGCCACAGCACCTTCGTGAGCATCGATGGCGGGTGCCTCTCACCCTCTCTCGGCGCTGCGCGCTTCATGATGCCGAGCCCCGAGGAAGTGTATGCCCTTCGCTCCCACACCGACATTGACGAGTACAACAAGCTCGTCGACAGCCTGCCCAAGCGATCGAGCCTTGATGGCCTGCACCGCGCCCTGTCGAAGATCACCTCCCCGCTCCTCATCCAGCATGCGTGGCAGAACCCTGCACCCGTCTTCCTCCCCTCGTCCGAGACGATGACGCTCATGCTGGACCCGAACTGCGACTGTGGCAACTCGGAAGCCGGCCTCGACACAACCCTGGAGCACACCGCGACCGAGGTGCAGGTGCGCGTGACGGAGCTGTGGGACCCCGGGTTCGACGTGCCCGAGTGCGCCGTGACAAGAGCCGCACTTGCACCCTCGGTGAAGCGCCTCGTGCTTTCAGCGCGCGACGTGCAGAGCTTTGCGATCCCGCTCCAGGCCATCCTGGCCGCGAGGGAGAAGCACAACAACTCTCCACTCGAGATTAGGATCGAGCTCGCTGAGGATCTCGGCGAGGAGCCGGCGAGGTACCTTGGGGCTGCGTATGCGGACCAGTTTGGCGTGCCCCACGACAAGCTGACGATTGTGCATGAGCCAAGCGCGGGCAAGGCGCCCGGTATGGGCGACGAGTAGATACCCTATACCCACAGCACCTAGAGCCTTAGACGATCATGGACGCTTTCTGACGCGCGTGGTGCAATGGCAGACTAGGAGGGGGCGCTGCCGCCGATCGCCCACGGTTTTAGCTCGTCCACCTGCACGTTGCCTCCGTCGCTTACACTTACTCAAACGTCTCACCCTCTAACATCTCCGCTTGCCTTTCGCCATTCTCATCAACACAGACGTCTTTACCATCATGTCGTCGAGCACGCACCTCGGCGTCACTGAGCTACCATCTTCTCCGCGAATCGAATATACAGCCTACCCGCACATCATCGAGAGCATCCTGGCCCTCTCCGACCGCGCGACTCTCCTCCGCCTCCGCGCCACCTGCAAGGCTCTCATGGCTCAAGCCCACCGAGCTCTGCACACGGGCCGCCTCCTCATCGAAGTAGAGGGGAGCTTTATAGACCGCCGCTCCCTCTCTCCCGAGTACGAGGCCGACTATCCGCACTATCCGGCGAGTTGGGCACCCAAGACACCAGCGGTCGTGATGCGGAGCGGGAGGGGTGCGCTCCCCTTCCGCAGCGAGGAGGAGTGGACGTGGGCCTGTGCGCGCAGCAGCGCCGTTGAAATCGACAGCGCGGCCCTGGCCGCCTCGTCCTGCGTGGCGCCTCATGCAACGAGGGGCTTCGCCGTGCGCGAGTTTGACAACCCCGACGAATTCGGTCTCGAAGCGCGCAAGGCCTCGAGCGTGTTCCCAAGCCGCCCCGTCCCCAGCACCCCTGACAGTGTGGGCATGCAGGCGAGCCTGCTCCGTGCACTGGGACACGTTCCACGCTCTGCTGTTGTCACTATCGACCACTCGGGCCGGAACGGGGCGCAGGGGACGCCGGCCTGGCTTCCTCCGGTTGACAGCCTCGTTTTCCTCCTGAATCCCCGTTGCAATTGCCTGCTCTTCGAGGGCGGAGCTGGTCCTAATGGCCTCCTTCCGCCCACACATTCGGCAAAGCACATCACACTCCGAGTGCCGCCTGAACGGAAGTACAGTGATTCGGAGGGAACGACTGGCTCGGGGAATGAGAGTAGTGGGGTTGACTCGGACGAATCGGAAGACATGAGGGGTAGTCTCTGCGAGTCGTGGGGAGACAGCGACTCGGACAGCGACTTCAAGACCTGCCAGCTGACGTGCACGCTCGTGCGTCTGTCGCTTGAGCGTCTGACGTTCTCGGTCGATCTGTACATCGAGGATCTCCGTCTCATCAAGTACGACTATGTCCTCACCGACCTCATGTGCTTTCGCGGCTCTGCGAAAGCTCTTCGCACCTTTGACATTGAGCTGCGCCAACGCAGTGTCCCCGACCACCCTGCCCCCGACGCAGAAAGGAAGCAGGAATTGGCGGAACGCATGCTCAGGACGGAGTGTGCCGCCTTCTTTGCATTCGACGCCGGAATGGTCAACATCAGTTACAGCGATGAGGCTGGACTGCGTAGACTCTGGTAGGGCCTGATGGCTTGCAATTTGTGATATAATTTACTGTAGCAAGGTGAAGCCGAACTCTGGCAGTTAGAAGCGAGGGGTTACGGTAGTCCTGTCGATTTGTGCAGAGCATGCAGACGATGCCCCGATCACCGCAGGCTGTAGGGCGTAGTCCAGACCGGCGAGCAAGTTGCCTCCGTCGCCACCGATCCACTCACCCACAACGAACACATTCTTCATCTCCCTTCCTCAACACCGTAACATTCACCGCCATGTCGCTAGCATCGAGATCGACCCCGATCAGCTACCTGTTCTACCCACACATCGTTGATGAGGTCCTCTCGTACTGTGACTACACGACCCTCCTCCGCTTCCGTGCCACGTGTCGATCCTTGAAGGCTCTAGCACACCGGGCGCTGCACGACGGCCACCTCACCATCGGCGTCGAAGGCAGCTTCATCGACCTCAAGTTTTTCGCGGACGAGTTTGACCCGTGCCAGCCGCCTCCCCCACCCTGCCAGACGCCTACAGTCGTGATGCGCGGCGCGATGGGTGTGCTTCCCTTTCGCCTTGAGGCTGATTGGACTTGGGCGTGCGAGCACAGCCGTGAGGTGGACATTGACGGCGCGTGTCTCTCCATGTCGACGCACATTGTCCCAGACCCAACCCAAGGGTTCCGCATGTGTCAACCCAAACCTCACAAGGATACCGAGAACCTTCCCAATCCAAGCACTTTTGGGAGCGTCACAATCCAGGCTGGCCTGCTTCGAGCGCTATCCCGCACTCCACGCACCTCGTCCGCCACCATCACCCACTCATACCAGCATGGTCCACCCGCCTACCTTCCGCCTACCGAGAGTTTGACACTACGGACTGACCCGCTGTGTGATTGTCTTGTTGTCAAGTTCAGACTTCGTCCAGAGCTGCAACCTCAACACTCGGCGAAGCACATAACCCTTCGGGTACCCGATGCGTGGAACGGTGAAGACCACATGGCGTGCTGCTGCAATCTGGCCTTTGCCCTTCTCCAGCCCTCTGTCGAGCGCCTGACCTTGTCGATCGATCGAACATTGTCAACTTTCCAGAAGCATGAGTATAGTCAAGATTTTGGCTTCATTCTTTACGAGCTTGAAGAACGCGGTTCCCGTGGGAACATCAAGAGCATTGAAGTCGAGCTTCGTCCCAGAAAGCCTGGGAGCATGGATGAGGTACTAGCCGAGCAGATCAAGGCTCAGTGTGCCCAGCGCTGTCATGTCGACAGCGACGAGGTTCACATAGTCTATAGTCCTACCGCGGGGGACCCCCGGCCGTATACTAGACCATTCTGACGCACCGTATGGTCTCTCGGATTTCTCTATGCATAGGTGCGAAGTACAACGGGCCGGCTGACTTTACCGTCGATCGCAACGAGTTGCCCCCGTTGCCACCATAACTGAACCGCCATCATATTCAACTTCAAATCCTTTTTCTTGCATTCTCGTCTCACATACCTACCCACATTCCCAATCATGCCTTCATCAGAGCCTCCACTTCTCCGACTACGCCACCCTACTCACGTTCCGCCGCACGAGCTCTTCCCTCAAGTACGCAGTCGCAAGGGAGCTCTGCCGCGGCCCGCTGGTCGTGGACGTCGACGAGCCGAAGAACTGGGAAGTCGGAGACGGAGTCATCGTCTTTCGCACACGTCGTGGGGTGCTGCCCTTCCTCCGTGAGGAGGACTGGGCGTGGGCGCTCGCTCGCGCTGATGCGGTGGAGGTTGATGTGTGGTGTCTTGGGCCGCCGCGCATTGGTGGCCCTCGTGGTCCACGCGGTCCTCCACCTTGGGACCCCGACTGGGACGATCGTTGGGAGTGCGACTCTGCCTGCGCCTACGAGTCGGACAATGATGACTCCTCTTGCCCTTACCATGGCCATTATGCAGCTCTGCGGGCAGACTATGTGGCATTCGAGAACGCTCCCCGAACCCCTTGCATAGACCTTGAAGCCATCAAACGTGCCCTCAGCAATATCCGACGTGAGGTCCCACTCACTGTCCTGCATTCCAGGGATCGGCCTCTCCCTACACACATCCCGGCCACGGACATGCTCATCTTGCGTTTGGATCCCATGTGCGACTGCGCCTTTGAAGGAAGACCGGACTCGCCTCCCCCCTCAAGCCCAGACTATACCTCTTCCTATGATCCTCTCCACTCTGCGTCCAAAGTGGAAGTTTGGGTTTCGCCCTTCCTTGACGACCCTGTCGGTGACCAAGGGGAGTGTATCTGCGCGCTTGCAGCACGCACACTCTTGCCCTCCGTCAGACACCTGACCATCTACGCACCGTCGGTACCTGACTCTAACGCCAACTTCAGCGCCATGGCGGAGGGCCCCGGGCCTCGTTTCGGTGGGGAGACGTATCCTGATGGAACGGAGGTTCGTCATCCTGAGCTCGAGGTCGATCTGCGCCTGCAGGTTGTTCACGAGAGCGAGAGGACTCGGGAGCGCGTTCAAGCCTTTTCAGATTACATCGGAGCTTCTCCGGAGAGATTCACCTTCACGCACGATCCCAAGGCAGGAGATCTCCCGTCCCTGCCGCCGCTGAAATGCATGCTCCTGAAATTGTAGAAATGCGATATATCGCCACATCCCGACCTCTTTTACCCTCAACTTTTGAGATATACACGATGCTGCATGCACTGAATGATGCAGAGCCGGAGGTCTCGTCTGAAAGCGGGAAATTCGCACGATGGAGAATGCAGTACGAACATGGCTGCACAGAGGGGCGCACTGCGATACTGCGGCGCACAGCTGGCGTTTCTTGCCCACGGTGGACATCGGCTCGCTTGCCTCCGCTCGCCAATCGGGTGAGTGACTCACCGGGCTCACCCGTTGCTCATCTCGACGTCAAAATCGAGCCTTCTCCTACAACACCCTCAGCGATAGCCATGGGCTTGCTTCATTCAATACTTCTATGGTTATTTCGGTTGAGCGACACAAGCTCATCACAGAACGCTTCGGTGAGCAGCGGCCGTCGGCTGCCGGCCGGCTTCCGGCATCAGTGGCAAGTAAGCTAACAGCGGCAAAGATACCCTACTCGTCCTATCCACATGTTATTGAGACTATCCTCGCCTTCTCAGACTACCCAACTCTTCTCCTCTTTCGTGCTACGTCCTCGGACATCAAGGCTAAAGCGGACCGAGCGCTGTGCGACGGCAAGTTGAAAGTGGAACTGAGACGGACCTCTCGCGATAGTCATGTCCAACAAGCAACCTCGAACGGAAGCTCACGCAGCAGTGATCTGGAGGTCGTCCTGCGCAGTGGACACGGAGTGTTGCCGTTTCTCGGCCAGGAAGAGCGCAAACTCGCGTTCTCGCTCAGCCACACTGTCGACATTGACGGGGCCTGTTTCTCGTTCCCCGCCACCGCCGGTCTGCTGTCCCCGCCAGAGTTGGACTCGCTGTTTCATCCCCTGCAAGCAAGCCTGCGCCGAGCCATGCAGAGCCTTCCCCGCTCGGCTAAGGTGATCATTGCCCACGAGCCCGATCACGGCCCGCCCCTCTTCCTCCCGCCTGCGGATCACCTCATCTTCACCTGCGATGCACATTGCGAATGCAGGCAGTTCTACAGAGGCCCCTCCCATTCAGCCTCGCACATCACCCTCCGAATGACGGCAGAACTGCAGCCATCATCTTCCCGCCCCCGTCTTGCCAACTACTGTCAACTGATCGTCCTCGCGCTGGAACCGTCTGTACAACGACTCACGATGTCGGCGGACTTGGGAGACGACATCGTGTCTGCGCTGGTATTCCATCGGGGTGAGCGCATGGATTTCACCCAGTCCGACCGAAATAAGCCAAACGAGAATCTGGATCTCGAGATTCGGCTCAAGCAGCCTGGAAACTTTCCCGCCTGGGCAAGCCATTTCGGATTTGCACCTAACCAAGTCCACGGAATGCTCGTTTCCGACGATACTGAGTGAACGGCACGCCGTCGTGATGAACTTGTAGAGGTCTAGGATCAGATTGTATCCTGTAGCGGTGATTAACACCCAGATTGTATGCATGGTCTTCTATTCACAGGTCTTGGGCTACTACTCAGGAAGATCCAGAGGATACAGTGAGAGACAGGCTCGAGTTGCTCTCTCTCCAGAACGCCGCCTCTGCATAGAGACGCCGATCGAACCTCAACAACAATCACTCATCAACCTTACACAAGGCACTGACAGCCGTGATTGCCACGGGTAACTGACACTCACTTCTACCACCGTCCTGCGGCCGCGCTGCACTCATGATATTATACCAACCGGACCGCGCCCCGTAGTATGGCCACCGGGACGGTGCTTTCTTCAGCTGGGTGGACTTATTCACATGCATGCATGGTGACGTTCTTTCATGTTTAGCCTCGCTTGGCCAAAGCCCTGTACCTCGGAGACAAAGCCAGCGCTTGGCCCATGTTCAGAGGACCCCCGGGGGCAGGACGGAGTCCCCAGTCCGCCTCGAAGACCCACACAGCTGCCTTCGCACGAATATCGGAGCTGAAACATTGATGCCAGCTAACACAGTTGCGGTGGGCCCAATTACTGGAGTTCTTCTCGATCATTGCTGTGTTGCACTCGCGGTAGACGCCAGTCAAGTCGATGAGGACTCCCGTGGCCTCATCCGCTCCGTGATCTTCCTCGTGCTTGGCAGTGAAGACTGGATGTCAGTTGCGGAACTGCATGGGAAACTCACGGCAGCGAGTCTTATACAGAATGTTGGCAGGCACATAACGCATGTCATTGACCGCTTCAAAGGCCAACAGGCGGAGCTCGCTCTTGATCATGGAGGGGAGGGGTGCCTTCAAGACGGTCTCGTAGAGATTGCTCCACAGTGAGGATTCCCTGCTGTCAGCTTTCGCCAATGTCTATGAGGCTCACAGCTGTGCCAGTCCAGAGTCAAAGGCTTGCTTGGCAGTGAAGAACAGTGGAGTGGCGTACCAAGGCATCAGGTCGAGGAGACACGCAGCATATCCTTGCACCGTGGCGCGATAGGCACCACTGGCACAGAGTCTGATGTCAGCTAGGAGAAGGGATGTTGTGCCCACTTGTCAACGACCTCCTTCTTCTTGATCACCTGATCCATGATGTCTTTCAAGGGCAGGACCTCGCTTGAGCGCTTGCGACCGAGAGCAGAGTTCCAAGGCACAGGGCTGCCGAGCGCACTTGCGACGCGCAGCGCTCGAACCTTGCAGGCAAGTTTGGCCGCTTCTTCCTTGATGGTGGCATCCTTGAGCTCTTTCAGGTTGCGCGTGGCTCTGAGGGGTGAGTGCCAGGACTCAATGAGTGTGCTTACAGTTCGTTGTAATCGACTCTAGTGGGAACCTGCGGCCCCTGTTGACCCAGTTCGTTGACGGGGAAGACATCCCACAAAGACTTGTTCAGAGACGTGTCAATCTGCTTGAGGTGGGTGTCGTGGAGGGAAGAGAGGCGCAGGTCCTCATCACCGCCCAAGACGTACTGATTGCCGAAGTACCGGAAGGCATCAGCTCGTGTGGGTGACATGGAGGAGATTGACCGAGGAGAGTGCAATGAAGGAAGGTTGGCACCAGGTCGTGTATTAGTGTCTTGTGTAGGCTTATGATCGAAGGCGCCGAAGAGGGCACGCCCCCTAAGGTAGGCACGCTACAGACGGCGATCTCTCAACCTGCTTCCTTCCACCGAACCGTCGAGAACTGACTGCTACCACTCCCTGCATGCCCTGCATGCCCTCATGTCTAACGTTTCGCAGTTGCTGTCACCCAGCTCCGACCCTCGAGCTCTACACCCACTTCCAGCACAACACGCCAGTTGACTATGCTCGTAGAACGACGAGTGATCATACCTTACGCCTCGTTCCCACACATCATCGAGGCGATCCTCTGGCAAGCAGACTACAAGACCCTCCATGCCATTCGATCAACCTGCTCTTCTCTCAAGACAGCGGCACACAAGGTGCTCTGGGATGGTACTGTCCGGGTGAGAATGGAGGAAAGGACGCCGGTCGCGGAGCAGGCTTTGACCTTAGGGTCCGGCTTGGACGTAGTGCTGAGGAGTGGCGTGGGTGTGCTCCCGGTTCTGGAAGACAAGTGGGCCGCAACATTAGCCCTGGCCTGCACAGTAGATGTAGACAGCGGGTGTCTTGGTCCTTCCACCATGCTTACGAGTGAACCACACTACGGTCGTGTAGCGGAGCTGGTGCGGCTGGATGTCGAGAGGAGTTGGCGGCGTCTCGCATTGAACGCCGCCCTCAGAAGCGCTCTGAACAACATTCCGTCCTCCGCCGACGTTGTCATCAAACACATCGCTGCGCAACCCAATGTCGCATATCTCCCGCCATCCTCACACTTGACCGTTGTTCTCGACCCCCTCTGCAACTGCGCCAGGGGGCTCCCAGCTTCACACTCTGCGCGCCACGTTTCTCTCCTCCACACATCGGACTGGGACGACAGAGTCGATGAGTTTACCACACGGTTTTGTGGAGTCGCTTGTGCTGCAGTCTCACCCTCTGTCCAGCTCTTAACCATCTCAGCAATCTCACTTCGTCACATCCGCTTCACCGTGAACGCCATTGCTCTCCATGCGCCGCGGCCACACAAGTCCTTCAAGGTCCAGATTCGCCTCCGGCAGTCCCTGGAGGAGGAACACGGGAGCGCCATCCGTGACTTGGTATCCGCGAAGTTGGGAATTCATGCGGAGTCCGTATTTATCATCCAGGACGACGACGCTGGAGTTATTGTCGACTAAATTCGCGGAAAATGCGAGCATTTCGCCATACATCCGTCATTAAGCGGCCATGCTGTAGTTACTCGCGTATGCTCCTGATCCTCTTACAAAGACCTGGCTGTGTGCATGCGTGCTTGAAGAGTCGGTACCTCAATATCTTGCGGATGTGCAAGGTCAGTGTGCTGTTTCCAGGCACGCCCTAGTGGATGAAGATCGGGAGCGCAGTCCCCGCCTGATGAGTTGATGAGTCGATAAGTTATCCCCATCCTCTTTGTCTCGATGAGTTGAGTCGATTAGTTATCCCCATCCTCTTTGTCTCGATGAGTTGAGTCGATTAGTTATCCTCATCCTCTTTGTCACTCTGCTCTTCTTTCACCACCATCACTTATCGAACACAAATCAGCACCCTTGCCCATTCCCATTAGCCATGTCCACCCATATGTCTGGTTTCAGCACTCAGCTACCACCCCAGACACCAGCACCACAAGTATGCAAGATACCCCACGACTCCTACCCACACATTGTTGAAGCCGTCCTCGCGCACTCGGACTACAAGACCCTGCTCACTTTCCGCTCGACCTCCACCTCCCTCAACACTGCTGTCAAGCGCACAATGAGTAAAGCAGGCCTCAAGATTCTGCTGGAACAAGACTCAGGCGACAGCACAATTGTACTCCGCAGTGGCGTCGGCACACTTCCCTTCGGCCGCCAGGACTGGGCGTCCGTGCTGGAACACTCTAAAGATGTGCAGGTAGACGGGCGCTGCCTCTCCAGCCTGGCTTTCACCTCAGATGCAGGGCTTCCCGGTACCCCGCTAGATCAGCTCGCCGTGCCACCAAGGGAGATGGAGCAACCAGTGCCTGGGGGGCTGAAGCTGCGCGATGATAAGGTGGCGTTGTGGTTGGCGCTCGACCACATCCCTCGTTCCGCCAACGTTAAGATCATGCACACCGACGGGCACTCTCCACTCGAATTCATCCCTCCCGTGGCGCACTTGACGATAGTGGTCAACCCATCATGCGCCTGCATGTGCTTCATCAAATCCCGCAATACGTTGACCCTGTCCCACACTGCCTCTCACCTGACCATCGTCTTTCATCCTAGCTGGGATGTCGAAGTCGAAGACTCTGGGGGACTCGAGTCTTTCGCACTGGTGCGCTGCAACGTTTCCACAGTGCTTTTTCAGCCTACTGTCGAGCACCTGATTCTCTCGGTCTCCTCGATTTGGCAGGCTTCTTTTGCGCTGAGTATGATGGGGCGTAAGCAGTCACCGGAGAATAAGCATGTCACTGCCGAAATTCGTATCCGTAAAGATCTCACAAATATTCAAGCGCATCCTTGCCGCCATCGTGAGGCATTTGCCCGCTTTCTTGGTCTGCCTGTCGAACAGGTGCAAGTTGCGCTTGATGAGACCGGAGAAGTGTAGCAGCGCGGCTTATCAGTACCTTGTGGCAGTGCAGAGTTGTCACGCAGTAGGTTAGGTGTCAACGACTGCCTCAGGCTTCTTTCCCATGCTATTGCTCCACACCTCACCCATAACGGGAGCTCCCAGATTGCATACATTGTTAGCGTAGACATCATATAGATACTATGAGGTGCAGGCGTGGAGTCGAGCCTTTCGTTTGGCTGGACGTGCTAGTTAGACATGAGCTCAGCGCCGGTAGCGACGGATGTTTCACGTTGCCGACTGTGGACTACGATCACTACTGCGATTTCCTTTCTCCACTTCGCTCATTCTTCATCGTCGCACAGTCACTCACTTCCCACCCTCTTCTTCTGTGTAACCATGAGCCGCTGTGAATTGCAGCAAGCCATTAAGATACCCCACGCCTCATTCCCCCACATCATCGATACCATCGTCGCGCACTCGGACTACAAGACTTTACTCGCCTTCCGCGCCACCTCCTCTTCCCTCAAGACCGTAGCGGACATGACGTTGTGCAACCACGACAGCGCAGTGCGCTTGACTCTGGAAGGCAAGCCTGGCGAGGATAACGTCGTGTTTCGGAACGGTCTCGGTGCTCTTCCCTTCGGTCATCGGGAGTGGCCATCGGTGCTGAAGCGCAGCAAGGAGGTGCAGATCGACGGGCACTGCCTAAGCAATACTGTTCCAACACTCGTAATCGAGCCTGGGACTTCTCTAGATGAAGGAACGAGGCAGTTTTATTCCCACCTACTCAGCAAACATCGGCGTTACGACCAACTGCTTCTCCTGGAGGCGGGACTCGACCAGCTGCCGCGCTCCACAGCGGTGACAGTAGCGCACGACGACCAGCACCCTCCACTGGCTTCCCTTCCCCCAGTTGATCAATTGACACTGTTGGCAGACCCGTTCTGCGACTGCTCTCGCGTAGAGAGCTTGTCACCGTACGAACACTGGGCGTCGCGTATCACTCTGATCATCTGCTCTTCCGGGAACAACACCGGTGCGAACCTTGACGAAAGACCCGACTGCGGCTTGATCAGTGCCATCTTCCAGCCCTCCCTTACCCATCTCGTCATCTCGGCTGAATCGTGCACCCATATTAGATACCTTCCTCGAGCTCTTCGGCGGGGCCGCAGAAAGGTTAACAAGAAACTGCAAGTCGAATTCCGCTTCCGCATCATGCCCAATGACGTGGCCAGGCATGACATACTGCAGAGATTCTCGCTCCGCTACGGCCCGATGCTCGATCGAATGCGTATTGTCCACGATCCGACCGCCGGTAGGGTCTGGCCCGACGTCGACTAGTGGCCCCGATTATAAACCTATGCCCTGCTGTAGTACTTGTTTGCAAAGTAACATGCATCACTCGAGATCATCGAGAGGGTTCGGCCCCTCGTTCTGCAGTCTGACCTGTTCCCGCTCCCAAGTCCTGATCTTCAGGAGGTATCGCGGCGTGAAGCACACGTGCTCCCTGAAGCAGAAGCGGTGTGCCCACTCGTCCTTGTCCTTGTTGCTCATCTCCTCGGCACACTCACGCATGACGTCCGTCATCTCCCTAGCCGCCGGGATGCTGCTGAACTGCTCATACTCGTCGTGGCTCTTGACGTAGCCTGAACGTCAGTTATCCGTTTCGCAGTACAAAACTGACGGAAACGCGCCTTGTACAGCGCCTTGGAGGGAGCGTAACGCATCCAGTTAACAGTCTCGAATGCGAGAATACCCAGGTCGAGCCGGTTCATGACAGGGAGCGTGGTCGCCTTGAGTACACTGATATGGAGGTTGTTCCAGAGCGCAACCTCGCTGCTGTCAGCTGCCAGACGACCCGTTAGCTCACAGATGCACGATACCCGTGTCATACGCGTGTCGCGCGGTAAACAGCAGCGGGCTCGCATACCACGGCATCAGGTCGAGGAGGCAGGCGGCATACCCCTGCACGGCGGCGCGATACTCGCCACTGGCGAACAGCCTGGTGTCAGCTCGTTCAGGCCTACTGTACATGAAAGCTCACTTGTTGACGACGTCCTTCTTCGCGGTGACGCGCTGCATCGTGCTTGCGAGGGGCGGGACATCTGCCGTCTGGCGCCGTTTCACTGCCGCATGCCACGGCGCAGCGCCAAAGATCTGGCACACGATCCGGAGCGCACGTACTTTCGCCTGCATGTGGCCGCGCTCCGCCTCCATCAGCTTGAACCGGTGGCTGCCGGCCAGTCTGTCGTCAGCTTCTTGCCTTGGGTGAAGAAAGCTTACTGCGCCCCGCTTGTGTCTGCGAGTTCTTCGGCGCCCCAAGCGTTGACGGGGAAGACGGCCCAGAGGAGCTTGTTCAGCGAGGTGTCGGTCTGCGCGAAGTGGGCCGGCTCGAGGGGCACGAGACGCAGGTCGATGTCGCCTCCGAGCAGGTCGGGATTCGTGAAGTAGCGGTATGCCTTTTGGAGCGGGGGCATGGTGGAGTGGGTGTTTGATGGAAAGAGGAGACGAGGAGGACTAAGGTCGCCGTGCGACACGGTGGCAAAGTCGTACCCCATTGCGCCCCCTCTCCGACGTGCTGGTGGGATGCTGGTGCAAACACTGTGGACTCTCGTATCACCTGCTCTTAGCTTCACCTCTTCCTCGCGATGCAGCTCTCAGTACGTACTCGCGAGGGGCCTGCTTGGCCATCGTGGCAGGATGCCGGTGTCGATGAACCACACGCCGTCTCCCCACATCTCCTCCGAGAGAGACATCCAGCTTCCCTGCTATCAGTTGACCTTGGACGTCAACAGCTGCAGGCGGGCAAGTACAGATAGGACCCGTGAACTGACTTGCTGAGCTTGTGCAATGAGTGGCATGCACATTGGAAGGTTAGAGACTGCGAACGAGAGCTGAGCGACCTAGTATGTTGGGTGGTGAACAGAACAAAGCAGTATATGACGGATGCAGCTCAGCCAATCTGCCGTTCTGTCGAGAAGGCCCGACCCGCACACAGCGACGCCGATCACACACAACGACACCCCCGCGCCTCTGAGTCCTGATCCTCCACAGAATCCTTCTACGCGTTCTACGACAAGCACAGCAATGTGTGCAAGAACAAACACGAGCACCGGTCGGTATACGCATCGGCACGCACTGCGTACACTCATTCCATCGACTACCAGACGCATGCATCGCGCCTCTGCCCCCGATGTGCCACTCATCTTGCATCCCACTCCTTGAATTAACCCTGAGAAACCACACCGTGGGAAACCCAAGCTGTTTTGGAACAATTCTGAAACCTTCATTTCTCCCACGGTAAGCTTTCCCACGATCCCCTGGATGCTGTTTTGGAACAATGCTGAAAACCGGCTATTCTCCCACGATGCACTTTTCCACGGCTCTGCCTACCCAGGCCTCTGCTCCCGTCTTGCCTAGCGATTGCTCCCGTCTTGCCTAGCGGTTGCTTCCGTCTTGCCTAGAAGTTGATCCCGCCTTGCCTAGAGGTTGATCCCGCCTTGCCTAGCCTTTGCCTCCGCCTAGGTGCCAGACGCGCCAGACTTTGATCCCGCCTACGTTCCACTGCTCTACTTTGCTCCCGTCTAGGTGCCAGTGCGTTGCTAGCTTTCCCACGGCCGCTTCGGTGCTTCGATGACGGCACTGCACTGCGAGGATGCTGTGTCCGGTGGTAGCGTGGCGCGCCGCATTCTGAAACCAGGCCGAACCGGCTATACCGCCTAGGCCGCCTACCTGCACTGCCTGAACTCGGGCGCATGCATAGTGACACTCCGCACAGGGAATCTGTTCGGGACACTTGCACGCCCCGAGCCCCACGGCGATCATTCCGCAGACGTCTCCGCAAACACCTCCGCAAACGCCAGGGGAGCCGGGCCACCACCCAGCCCATCCTGCCGCACATTAGTCCTCCCGACGCGTCCACCTCGTATCAGTGTACGTCAGAGCCACAAAGCGCCGCAGAGTGAACCGGTGAACCACGGATGTCATTATACTGTCCGACGAAAGCTACAAGGATGCAAAAGGGGTCTATGGGCCGGGCTGAAGCGTTCGTTCGATGTTCGTGTGTTGATAGTGTGCGAGATACGGACTCGATCTCATTTTAGGTAGGCATGCAAGAGAGGAGAAAAGACTAGTTTACAACCGGTTGTCGCCGTGCGGGCTCGAGGGGTTTGCGACGTGGAGCGGGTCGGGGCGCTCCATTGGCGTGTCGATCGAGCCCTCCCCGCCGCTGTAGTCCTGGAAGGGGTTGTTGCTGTGCACGGGGGGCGGCATGTGGTCGCTCGGCGGCGTCTCAAACACATCGCCCTGCGACGCGGCTGCCACATCGTACCCCGGGTCGTAGTAGTAGCCCTCGCCGCCCTGGTGCAGACCCTCGTACCCGCCGGCATGGTCGTCGGAGTACGGGTGCTCGCCGGCCGGCTGCGAAAAGTCTGGGCTCTGCGCTCCTGCAAAGTCGTTGTAGCCCAGCTGCTCAGAGTAGCCCCGGTCGCTGTACGGCTGAGCGTCGCTGTACGGCTGCGCATCCTGGTACGGCTGAGCGTCCTGGTACGGCGCGTTGTCGGAGTACGGCTGAGCATCGTGGTACGCGCCGTACGCACCCGCGCCAGCCGCTCCGGCAGCAGCGCCACCGGCACCAGCGGCGGCAGCGGTCGTGAACGGGTCGTAGCCGCCGGCATTGCCAAACGTGGTGCCGTACTGGTTGTACTGCGCCATCGTCGGGTGCGACATCGTGCTCGGCGACATGGTCGACGGGTACGAGTCGGATGGCGGGTGCGACATGTCGCCCTCCTCGTCCAGAGGGTGACGCGCGGCAGCGGCAGAGGCCGCGACAGCCGCAGCAGTGACCTCGCGGTCGAGACGCTGGCGGCGCCTTCGGCGGAAGAAGATCGTCGCAAGAGCGGCGATGATCGCCACAACGGCCAGACCCACAACAACGAAGACACCGGCAACAGCGCCCTTGTTGTTGAAAAAGTTGGACGACGAACCGGACGAGCCGCCCTTATTCAGCGAGCCGGTCGGGTTGTGGACATTAACAGTGACAGTGTACACCTTGTTGCCCGAGGTGTACGTGCTCGTCGACGCCCAGGACGACGCAGTCGTCATGAAGACCTTGCCGTCAGACGTAACAAGCATGCCGATGGCAGACGAGGGCGTCGTCTCAACAGCGCCAGTCGTCGGGAAGCTAAGCGAGATACCGTTGTCAGTCACGCTGAGGGTCGTGTACGACGCGGATCCACCGCCGGGAACAGGCACGACAGTGGTCGTCGTAGAGTCCTGCTGTTGCTGGCCGCCGCCAGTCTGCTGCTGTTGCGGCTGCTCGGTCGGCGTCGGGCTCTGGTTGCCGCCGTTGTTCGTCTGCTGTCCCTGCGTCTGGGTGATCGTGACATCGTCGACACCGCCGCCGGTAACACTGCGATCGGCGTCAGATTCTGCGGATTGACGGGAAGATCAAATTCAGGGTCCAGTGGAGTACTCACGTCGAAGTCTCTTGCACAGGCGGCTGCGAAGGCTGCTGGTTACCACCGCCCTGCGAAGACGGCTGCTGATCACCTCCCTGGGTCGAAGTCGTCTCTACGACCGGGGGCGGCACAAACGTCGTCGACGTTTCCGGCTGAGGGTTCTGCGTAGGAGTCGGGGACGGGTTGGGGTTCGTTGTCGGAGCCGGGTTTGAGGTGGTGGGAGGAGCCTCAGAGGTCGGTTGAGGCTGAGTCGTCGGCTCTGGCTGCCTGCTCGTTGTCGGCGGCGGCTGCTGCGTCGTTGGCTCTGGATTTTGGGTTCGCGTAGTAGACGGTTCCGGTTCCGGTTCAGTGGTAGGTTGCGGTTGCGTTGTAGTGTCGGGAGTGGACGATGGTGGATCGGGTGGGGAAGAAGTGGTGGGTTCGGGTTCCGTAGTGGGCACTGGTCAGGACGTGTATTAGACGCACGCAGGGCTGGAAATATCCACGAGGGGATACAGGATGGGGGCTCAGTGATAAACTTACCGGGCTCATTAGAGGTGGTGGGCGGAGGCTGGGAAGTAGTGGGCTCGGGTTGCTGGCTGGTCTCTGTGGAAGTGGTTGGCTCGGGTTCAGAAGTAGTAGTAGGAGTGGGAGAGGAGGTAGTAGGCGCTGGAGTCGGCGAGGATGTGGTAGGAGGGGGTTCATTGGGAGTAGAGGTAGTGGTGGGTGAAGGTTCTGGGGACGGAGTAGTAGGGTTCTCACCTCCAGTGGATGAGCTGTCACCTCCGCCACCTCCCGTCGTAGAGCCATCATCACCCCCACCACTAGTCGTACCACCACCACCACCTTGGCTAGTGCTGTCACCTCCGCCGCCCTGCGAGGTAGAGCCGGTTCCGGAGGAGGAACCGCCGTCGCCGCCGCCCGTGTTCTGACGGGCGACGAGACGGGGGACGGTGAGGAAGGCGACAGCTTGTTCGGCCGCCATGGTGGACGAGGTGTGTGGTATGTAGGGATGAGAGTTTTGAATAAGAGGCTCTACCAGAGTATCTCTACTCTTGGAACGGTAGTGAGTCAAAGGCAAGCAGCAACAGCAGGCTCGACAGAGGGCCAGCTGTGGATCGTGGTTCCGATTGGGACTTGGTGCTGTGGTTGGTGGGACTGACACACGCGGAGGGTCGAAAGGGCGATCCGGGTGTTGGAGCGTGGGTCGGTGTGAGGGCGGAGCAGCGGAGGAGGGGCACGCGGGTAAGTCTGTGGTTGGTGAGAGTTAGAGAGTTGCTGCGAAGACTAGCGCGCGGAGGTGTCGGGTGGTCGGGTGTGGGTCTTGGAAGGGTTCGGGGCTTCGGGGGGTCGGAGTTTGAGACCGTGTGAGAACCAGGCTGTGGGATACCTATTGACAGGTGCGATGTATCGGATGCGGATGATGTGGGCGCTTGAAGGATGAGATGAATGGAGCGCTGGAGCACGTCGAACCGGTTGGTATGCAGAGAAAAACGGAGAAAGTAGGTTAACGTTGGGTCGACGCGAGAAGAGGGAGAGAGGTTGCGAGCGAGGTCAGAGGCGGCGGAGGCGGCGATGCGGTACCTGCTTGGGGGAAAGGGGGTCAAGGCATTAGACCCAAGGGAGTGCAGCGAAATGCCGGAGTGGGATGAAAAGGCACGGACGCAGGAGCACGCAGGTGTGCTAACTTGATTCAACGCCGCCGTCGCCAAGAGCAGGTAAACGATCACCGACCCTCCCATCGTGGTGCGCAATCCCATTAGGGCTGTTTAGGGCTCAATAGGGCATCGCAGGGTGAGTGTTGCTGAAATCCTAATCAGCTGTTCCCAGCTAGACTAATGGGGCATGGGGCATCACTTGCAATATTTGCAGGCACGTACACAGACTCAAGACTTAAGGTGCGAGGCCCGAGGCTTGCGAGGCTGAGGAACGATTTTTTTACAGCGTTGCAGTATCTGCAGCTCACTCTGCTTCGCGGGACCCTTAATCCTATGTAACTTGTACCCCTGCCCCTCACCGCACCCTGCACTGTCCTGCACGTCGACTCCCACGAACTGCACCCCCGCCGTCCATATCCAATCGCTTTCGCCAAAGGCAGTGCTGGAAGCTCTTGCAGCAACGCAAACTCTGAGCTTGGAGACACATGTGAGACGAGCGGGAGCGCTTTCCACTCGTTTGAGGTGCTCATCTCTCCTTCACTCTCAACCAACTGCCAGCCTGCAATGCTGCGACCTCAGAAACATCGACTTACGTCCATCACTCTGAGCCCTGAAAACTCCTGATGGCCACCCTTAGTGCGACCGTCCCGTTGTCCATCCCAGTCACCGTCCTCAGGCTCTGTGCGAGAGGCTGCCTTCACGTGCCCTTCTGCCATCGCTGAGCCCCTTACGTCATTCATTGCAAGTACGTTCTGTGCGCGATCATCTGACCACAGCGTCGTCCTTTCCTTCCATCATACCGTCGAGCAATTGCGATGCAAATGAGCAGGTCATCTGCTGCGCCTGGGAACGATGTGGCTCCCCTCGCTTCCGTTTCATTTCGGTGGGTCTCACATCCTCCAGCATTATTGACGTCCAAGGAGCAAGCAAATAAATGAAATTGTCACCTTCGATTCTTACGAGAAGGGTTCAAGGGAGAGCTCATGACCGCTCAATGCCCAGCCGGCCCAGCATCACGCATCGCCATGAGATTTCATGGCGCTCCTGAAGGTGGCGCTGACACCTGGGCACCTGCCTCAGGACCAAGGTCCCAGACATTACTTGAGCACGGGCAGTGCGCATTGCACGGCCGCTCGTCTACTACGGCTGCTCGGCTGCATGCAGCCTTATCAGCTCATGTCGAAATAGGGGTCGCAAGGAGATCTTCATTCCCACCCAGCGAACTTTCGTATTTCCAGCGAGCGCCAAGTTACAGCTCGGTGGCAGTGTCGCTTCGGCCAACTGCACGAGTCACTTGACCTTGACTTGACCATGAGATTATTCCTGGTCTCGTCATCAGATTGCATTCCAACTCTTGGCCAAAAGGACTACGAGGACATATTGCCCACCGCCAGTGGGCTCAAGAAGAGACCCACCTCGGACCCGCGCGGCCCCGCTCTCGGAGACCGCTATGCTCGGCGTGGGCATTGGGTGCGGCGACCGGGCCGAGCTGATTCTCACGCTCGCCCTTCGCTGGCCCTAATCAATTTCCTGGCTCATGCCTCCTTCCCAAGACTTCTCCGAGATGAGTTTTCAGAGTACTACAGGCAGGGAGCACATTGTTCTGCCAGAACTGTACTGTCAGGTGCTCTATGCCGCGGCTCACTCGTCATGCTTAACGGTATTGAGTCATTGAGTGGGTCACAGAGGGATCGGCGCATCATATCGTAGTAATTGTGAGGCTTACGATAGCTTATAGGCGCAGAGCTAGGTCCACATGCTTGACGCGGCTTAGCATGTGGCCGGCTAGCCGGGTACTACGGACCAGTAGTATAGTTTGGCAGCAGTGACTAGCCGCTACACCGCCATCGCTTGTAAGCAGAGCCTGGCTCTTCGGATGCAAACAGACAAACAGACTTCTAGCGCATTCAAGACATGCACTGCCCACGCAAACAGACTTGCAGCAGATCACAAGCCTCGACCTGGCACACAGCACCGGCTCCGACACAGCACGTACGACGTCAATACACAGCAATCACTTCATAGCAATATGATACAATACATGAAACCCCAAGCGAGAATCTGTCTGTCAGCTGCCGTCCAACGAGAGATCAGTTGAAGGAGGGAATGGATCAGGTGAAGTGGTCTAATCTACGGCCCGAAAGCCTCATCAACAGCCTTTAGTTGATAGTTGATAGAAGGTAAAAATCATCATGTTGCGCACACTGCAGTGCAGCGCGGCGATAGAGGGAGGGAGGGGGAGACTTACACTGAACACTACGTGGAGAGGTGATGAGTACAGAGGAGAAAGAGAAATCATACGCTTTCAAACGCGCATCACACAGTTGGTGTCGCTGGCTTGCGCGGTCAGAAAATTTCGGTGGAGGTGTGGGTGGTTGGGTGCGAGAAGTGGAGGTCTGGTGCGAGCGGCATGGCTTTCGCGTGGCGATACTCCGACAACTCTCCGACCACACAGCACATTTTGAACCACCAGAGACGTCACAACGCAAGATTCTCCGCAGCATAAGATCTCAGAACCTCGTCGCTCTCTTCGAGTCAACGTCGCCGCGGTATGTCTGTGCATGCCGCTCGGCAGGTCGGCATGCATCGGCGCCCGCCGCTGGTCGTGTGAGTGCGAGTCACTACGGCGACGAGGCCTCCGCCGAAACTCCAGCATCATTTCAATACCAAGCGCCTCTCATGACCCATTCTGCACCTAAACCCTTCAGGAATGTCGCGAGCACGCAACCGGTTCCAGGACTTCCAGGAGCTGGGTGCAGTGCTGATCTGCAACGTTCTGCACTGGGTACATGTTCCGGGCCGGCCTGGCTTGAGCACGCCATACTTCTGGACGATCACAGCCAACGAGCGGCCGCGTACGAGAGTGAAGTAGGGACGAGGCGCAGGCGTGTTGCCCATCACGTGGGGAGGAATATTGCCCAGGAACGGCCGATAGCAAGATCTGATAACAGCCTGCGCTAGCTGCGGCTTGCGGTAAGACCAAAAACTTTGTAAGCCCCTTGCAAATTCCTCAAATTGTCAGACGAGTTAGTCCGCATACGCGCGTGCATATGCGCGCTTGGCACTGCGACTACTGCGGGCGAAGCAGATGTCTGATGTAAGCCGCCGGCGACGTGCAGAACCATTAATATTGTTTTTCCGGCTCCTACCTCGAGCCATTCCCACTTTCTGACTCTTGCCTCTCTCACTCTCTTACCTACCTGTATATTTCGATCACCACTAGACACGATCGACCATCGTCTGAGACGACACCGCGATTGAGAGCAGAGACGACCTACTTCCAACGACACTCCTTCACAAACGACTCTCTTTCGTCCTTCCGGCACCATGACCAAGCCGACAAAGTGGATCAGCGAGAAGGCGCGTTTCGGGCATGGCACCGCCGAGGTCGTGCCCCCTTCCTCATCGGCCTCGAGCAGCGACATTGAGAAGGGCTCCGAGGGCGCGCTCGAGGACGCCGTGTTCGGCAACCTCGAGTCTGGCCCCAACTTCCGTGGCGTGTCCGCCCCCGGCGCCTTTGTGCTCATGACCAAGGCGAACCTCGGTCTCGGTGTGCTCGCCATTCCGACAGTCTTCAACCTCCTCGGCATTGTCCCCGGTATTCTCGTCATTGTCGGATGCGAGATGCTCCTTTTCTGGTGCGCCCGTTTTGTGGGCCCCTTCAAGATCCGCCACCCCGACGTGTACGGTGTCGCGGACGCGGCGTACGTCTTTGCCGGCCCCTGGGGCCGCTGGACGATGTACGTCATCTTCACTGTGTTCATGATCTTCTGCACTGCGTCGGCCATTGTTGGTGTCTCGACTGCGCTCAACGCCATGAGCTCGCACGGCGCGTGCACTGCCGTCTTCACCGCCGTCGCTGCCATTGCCGGATTCCTCCTCTCGTCCATCCGCACGCTGTCCAAGGTGTCCTGGATCGGCTGGGCCGGCATCACCTCCATCATCGCCTCGGTCATCATCCTCACGATCGGCGTTGGCGTGCAGGACCGCCCGTCTGAGGCCCCCCAGGCGCCCCTGCCCTGGGACAAGGGCTTCCAGGTCATCGGCCACCCGACCTTTGTCGAGGCCATGAGCGCGATCAACATCATCCTCTTCTCCTCCTCCGCCACGCCCATGTACTTTGGTGTCGTCAGCGAGATGCGCGACCCGCGCAAGTACACGCGTGCCATGGGCGCGTCGCTCACCTTCCTCACGGCTGTGTACCTCATCATCGGCAGTGTCGTCTACCACTACTGCGGGCAGTACGTTGCCTCCCCCGCCCTCGGAAGCGCCGGTATCGTGCTCAAGAAGGTCTGCTACGGCATCGCCTTCCCCGGCCTGCTCGCCTCGCTCACAATCTTCAACCACATCTCGGCCAAGAACATCTTCGTCCGCGTCCTCCACGGCAGCAAGCACCTGAGCTCCAACAGCGTCACGCACTGGGCCGTCTGGCTCGGCTGCACCGCCGGCTCCGTCCTCCTCGCGTACATCATTGCGTCGGCGATTCCCATCTTTGGTTCTTTGATTGGCTTCATCGGCGCGCTCATGTGTCCCGCCGTCGCCATCATCCCCGAGTGCCTCATGTGGTTCTACGACAACTGGTGGTTCACCACCAAGGGCCTGACCGCCGGCAAGATTGTCACGGGCGTCATCAACATTGTCGTCATCCTCATCGGGTGCTTCTTCACCGTCGGAGGCACGTATGCCGCCGTCCTCGACCTCATCGCCACCAGCGTTGACTCTGGTCCCTGGACTTGCGTCAACAACTCGGGCCGCCTGCACTAAGTTTGCAGACGGTCTTGTATCCTTTGGTTCCAACACCAATGTTTTCTCTCTCTTGGTTCCAACACCATGTCTCCTCTTGGTTCCAACACCATTTGTCTCCATTAGATCATCATTTGTTCCAACACATCAGATCAGCATAGCATAGAACACTGCATAGGACTTGTCATGTATCATTAGCCATCGTTAGTAATTCTCAGGCGTGGGCGAGTCGACGGTGATGAAGGCGTGAGCGGACCGCTGAACTGACACATTGAAGAGACTCGGAGAGCAGGTCCGGCATTGGTCTTTCACTGAGTTGCGTTATGACCAGCGCTCCAGCGTGAGCCGCACCGAACTCGGCATCGACGCACCATGTCCCAGCTGCCACAACTACCGCTCGGAAGCGCGGTCATGGCTGCTCGCAGCCCAATGAACTCGCCCAGTGCGATCGCACCCGCCTTCCCACCTCAAGACGCCTTGCCGGAAGTTCTTAAGAGCCCTTGACCCGCGAGATCATCGCCGCTTCCAGGACAATACCCAGCGGGTTGAGTCTCAGCCGATTGAGCAGGCTCGGGGAGACTCTGGGACAGAAGACTGAGACAAGGCAGCAGAAGGAACACACTGTCAGTATCCGCCCCCGGTGAGGGTTTATTGAACGCTGCTGTGATGGGCTCACGGAGCGCATGGTGTCGACGGAGGAAGCGAGAGTGTGCGATAGTTGGTGTGCGGAAACCCAAGTCTGAATCGCAGGCAATAAACATTGAGTGTGACCTTGCTCTTGCGATACGTACCCGAAGCTGCACACCTTGCACTTTGAGAGCTCGACCGGCAGCAGACACTACGCCTGTTCGGTTGGTCTGATCAGTCTCAGTGGTGGCAACGTCAGTGCGGGGCCCGTTGAGTGCAGCCACGGGACAGGCCGATGACGAGGGAGCGGGTGGTTGGAAGTGAAGAAGATCATGTGCGACGTCCTTAGTCACGAAGAGCAGTCGGGGTGGGGGAAGATGGGCACTGGGCAAAGATTGCACAAGCACGGTTGCGGGCACTACTGTCGTCGACGTGGTTGGTAACAAGACCGCAAGTCTTTCAAAACATCGCAGGTAGCGCTTGTAGAACAGTGGTCCAGGGAGAGATCGCGGCGACTGCCCATCGACGTCAGTATGACGTTTGAATCAGTTGGCAGCGCTGGCGGCGCGATGTGGGTGGATCGTGCGGCGCAAACATCCCCGAGCGCTGATCCAACACTTTGCACGGTCCTCTGCACGGGACACTTAGACAACCCTACAGCAGTTCGTAGAAGCATTAACCGTTGTGAGCCACACCCCATCTCGGTCAATAATAGTAATCGGGGAGGCTTATCTCCTCGGCGGAGATTGTTCCTCGTTGTGCCGTGATCACCTCCGCTGTCGGCGTCTCCTCAATTCTATTCCTTCGTTTCGGCCCCCTCGGCCCCTACGTCCCCTCCTCCGAGCCCGGGCGAGGGCGGGCAACGTCCGTCCCGGAGCAACGTTGTTATCTTTGGAACCACACGGGACGGCGATGACGGAATCCACGTCAGATCTCGTCCTGACTCGCTCGGAGGCGCCCATTCAGCTGAGCTTAAGCTCACACGACCTCACACGACCGAGATCGAGAACACATGTCCGCTGCGCTCCGTCACCGGAAGGGAGGATCTACCGGTGTGGAATGGTTGCGATTCCAGTGCTTTAGGATGCAGACTAGAGTCGTTAGTCGGTATGCCTAGATAACCACGAGGCTGATTTCGATACTAAAACCCCGTAGTCACTGCGGATGGCCGAGGCACGAACCTCGGCATGATAGTGGAGGCGGGGTGATCTGTGCTCTACGGCCGTCTTCGGTCGAATATGAGCATGCAATCAGATCCTGCAGCATGCAAGGAACTGGGCTGTAGCAATGCATCAGCCGAGACAAACCGCGGAGTCGGTGGCTGCATCAACGACCAGTGGGGTGTCGAGATCTGCGATGCCAAGCGTTTCTGCCCTTGGCAGGAGGTCTCGGACCCAAGATCCCATTCCGAGTCAGGCTTGGAACAAAGAACGTGCACGCTGCCAGGCATGCACTGATCGCTATCCTGAATTGCTTGCCCGCTGCCAGCTGACACGCTCAGGCCGGGTCGTGCCCGCCCGACCCGCCCCTGCTGCCTGCCAAGCAACGATAAGAGACGCCAAGCCCCATAACCCCACCACACACCACATCACGCCCCACCCAGGCCGTCGTTCCACCCACACGTGCTGAGCGGCATGTGCTCATGCCGCAATGTTCCCGATGCTTCTGTATGCTATCATTGTTATCAGCAACAACACCACCCTTGTCAGATGACATGAAACATTCCACTCACAGGCCGATAGCAGGCCGGATCGCAGGCCGATTGCGTCGGCCGTGCCGGCCGGTCGTGGTATGCCCCCGCAAACCACGCGGTTCCACATCCAACAAGCACATAGATTGGCTGATTCAGCTGGCCCCCCGGGTCCCCGTGACTCGCTCCATGGCCCCGCATGCTCCCTGCGCCGTGCTGCAACGCGTTGGGTGTGCTGCATGAGAGCCCGCTGCTCACCGCTTGTGCCGCTGGCGCCGCGCGCTCCCGCGGCCGGAGTCCGTGCCGGAGTGCTGCACCACTTTGACGTAGTTGTCCAGGTCAGCGAGACCGAGGTATATAAAACCTAGCCGTGCTCAACGTCGAGACCACCCACCGCCGCGATCACCTCGCCCGTCAGCAATGTTGTTGTCGTGGCGAGTGGATTGCATCTCTCTACGGCCATCGCACACATCGTAGTGTCCCTTCCCATGCTCAAAGTCACACACAGCCTTGGCATACTGATACTCGCTCCAGAGGTTCTCGAACGAGAGCACACGGACGCCGGCCCCGTTACGTGCCCCCTCCTTTGGCCTCTCACTCGCGTTCGCCTGTCGCCTCCTCGGCTCGCTGAATGCTAACGCGGTGGTGTGCAGCACGCGCAGGCCGCCGCGGTGTCCCCAGATGCCCCACAGGCATTCACCATTGTTTGTTCCACGGGCTGACCACTGGACAGACCACCTCCACCTCCGTTGGTATTTCATGCTTAATAGTGGCAATGCCTCCACCATACGACTGCCAGCCTGTCTAATCTCCATGGTCGGAGGTGAGTGTCTGGCTGGGCACAAGACCTGCACGTCCTCCACACGGGAGAGCGGCCAGGCCCACGTTTCTCAGCATGTGCAACGCAGAACAGAGTCGCGAATGATATCAAGGGTTTAAGAGATCGGGAGCTCGCTCGGTAAAAACGACGACGCGATTTGGCCGGCTCGGCAGGCTTGACAAGACCCTGAGCACGGGGGCCGCCCTGAGAGATAGCAGCGCGTGATTCGCATGTGACCTGCGTCTGCGCCCCTGATGCGCCCTGGTACCCGTCTATGGCCGCTCAATCCCCGCCCAATGCCCGCTCTACTCGCGCGATACCGCTCTCGTCAGCTCACAACGAGTCACGGGTTGTCCTGTTTAGTCACCCAACTTCCCCGCACACCCACTCTCCAAGTTCCCACTCCCACTCACCGCAGAGCACAGCAGTGGACCAGGTCGGGAATAAGCCGGCCCTAACATCAGATAGCACGGTGCCCCTCATCCTGTGCCTGACGTTCCACCAGTCTCGTCGTTCAAGTCCGACGAATCGCGACCGCTCATCTCCGCTCCAGCGCCGGCAACTTCGCTCCGGCGTCGCTGCGACAAACTCGCGACGCGCGCAACGTCACTGATATGCTGGGTCGCTCGCCAAAGTCGTTCATTAAACTTTGTCGATCTGATACTCCCAGGGCCCGCATCCCAGGGCATCTCTCCCAGCCGCCCAGCCGCTCAACCCGGATTCCGTATACCCGCCCGACGTACCTGCTGCCCTCTCTCTGTGTCGCGTCTGTCTATTCTGGCTGCTGAATGCTTGCATTCTGTCGCGCACCGCGCTACGGCTGACCCCACCAAGCGTGAATGTCTTGTCCAGTCTAAGAATACCGCGAGCGTGAATGATGAATGGCTTCCTCCGCTCTTCCCCCCTCGCACTCCCGTTACAACCTGCCCGCTCGCTTGGGCTGTGTTCGGGCTCAGAGAGAGGCACCACAAGTAACGGGTCAGACATGCACGCAAGTGTTCGGGCTGATCGGTTTTGTGGTATCTGGAGCACCGACGAGGGGACCGGTTGAGTTTCGGTGACAATCTGATCTCTGGGTGGAGCGTCCTCTTCCTCTGCCTCGCCGCCCTCCCGAGGCGCGCAATGTACCTAATTTCCAGAGCTCGCCTCCGCGTACCCCGTGCCTCGCCTTGTCGTCTGATGAAACCGGCCCAATGACACAGCAGAAGTGCGGGATGCGCGCGTCATCGCCCGAACCCAGATGGAGGTGCCAGAGATTCGAGATTCTCGCCCAGACCCGCACAGGAGGAAGGGGAGGCGAGGGCCAGTTACGCCAGTTACGCCAGTCGCCGAGCGCCTCGCCGACCCCGGACGGCTGTGATCCGCTCATACGCCGAAACCGATTGGTCGAGCGGTACGACAAGCACGAACAAGCATCGCGCCTGCGACGCCCTGGATCCCGGCCTCTCACAGCACCTGTTTGGGCATCAGCTCTGTGCAAAGCCAACAGGCAGTGGTGCCATCGGGGCTGTTTGGAATTGTAGCCGAGAGATTTTTCTGGGGCATATCTTGGGGTAACAATTGGCCCTAAGGGACTTGATTGAAGACCGATCCGCACCAGGCCGCCTAGGCAGAATCGGGCAGTCATCAATCCTGACCACAGCACTGGACCCAAGCAACCGTGATTTTTCAAGCCCTCTCGTGCCGCTAACAGCCGTAGGTGCCGTAGGGACGATAGGAGCCTCCGACGCTGATTGGTATCGCCCGTGTGCCCCACATGGACCCGATCGAACCAGCTGGGCCCCGGTGCTGGCCAGAGGGTTTCTTGTCGAGGGTCCTGTGTTTTAGACGAGCGAGCATGCGCTGCTTGTTGTGAGGGCGGCCGGGCGGCCAAGGCCAAGGTGGGGCAGGTCTGCCTGCAGACGTTTTCCAGCACCACTCGAACTCCTCTTCGAGCGGGTATAAGAACTGGCCCGCTTTGTCTCTCCAGAATCTTTCCCTCATCAAGCAACCGACTCGGCCTTCTCCCTCACACTCTTCAAGGACCAGACCAGCCGTGAACACAATGTCGACCCCCAACGTCTCCTCCCCCGACTTCGCTCAGGAGAAGGTCCAGCAGCAGGGCTCTCAGCAGGATGTTGTCTACAACTCCGGCGCTGCCATGAGCCGCTTCATCACCCCCGGTGGACACCCCGCGGACAACTCGCAGCCCGCTCTCCCGGTGTTCCACCGTAAGTTCGCCAACCCTGCCCCTCTCGGTCTCATGGGCTTCGGTGGAACGACCCTCCTCCTCTCGCTTTACAACCTCGGTGCTCGTGGCGTCGAGAAGCCCAACGTCCTCGTCGGTGTCGCCCTCATGTACGGCGGCGTGTGCCAGATCATCTGTGGCTGCATGGAGTGGGCTTGCGGTAACACTTTCGGTACTTGTGCTTTCACCGGCTACGGCGCTTTCTGGGTCTCTTTCGCTTGCATCAACATCCCCTGGTTCGGCGTCGCCAAGGCTTACGAGAAGAACCCCAACGAGATGGCTCAGGCAGTCGGACTCTACCTCGTCATGTGGGGTATCGTAACCTGCTTCCTCCTCACTGCTCTTCTTCGTTCTTCGGTCGCCCTCTGCTTCACCTTCTTCGTCGTCGCCTGTGCCTTCTTCTGTCTCGCGGCAGGTGATCTCTGCGCATCGCACGCCGCCAAGCTCGCCGGTGGTGGCTTCGGAATCGCTGGTGGTCTCGGAGCCATGTACGTCGCCCTCGCTGGTCTCCTCGACGGCAACACCTCGTACTTCACCCTCCCCATCGGCAACCTCGCCCCCGCCTAAGTGCGCATTGCATCGACGTGTGCTCCGCTTTCCTCGGACACCGGACACTCTTCACACATCTCTTCTTGCTCCACATCTACCATCACAACGTTTAGGCGTAATCGCGAGCCCGGCGCGGCTCTCTATCATCTAATCTAAAAACTGTAGTTCATTCTACTTCCCGTTTGTAACCAATGCAATTAGCTAATGACCTCATACAACAGTTTGGGCGGGTCATCTGACCTGCCCGGTTCGCACATCATCTGACCGAACTGGGCGATTAACTGACCGCACTTACCAGCCCTCACCCCAGTCTCGGCCAGCTGACGAACAGATTGACTCGGCGATGCCCAATGCCCTATGCGCGTTGTCGTCACACCGACGGCATTGAACCGGCCCGTGCCGAGAAGCGGTATGCCAAGGTGTCAGCAGCAAGTGTGTGAACGTCGTCATTCTGCAATCAGCTGTGAGATGCCGCAGAGGCGTGCGGAGGCGCGCAGAGGCGCAGCGGGCAGCAGTGCGCAGGCGTGGGGGCGGGGGTGGCGGCGTGGCTTGCGCCTTCCTGAGAGGAAGCAAAGGGCAGCTGCAGAAATCGCAAGGAGCTTAAGGAGAGGCGCTAAAGGCGCACGCTGGTCCGCTCGGCAGATCTTGGCTCCACCTGGCAGCAATCACCGCCCGCCAGACCGACTTTCGGTCTCGGCTACGACCGCCAAAAGGCATCAAGCTTGATCCCGAAATCCTGCAGTCGGTCCTTTCTTTGAGCCCTACGTCAACAACCTCTACGCAGCCCGATCACTCGAATCTCGCCCAGAATGCCCCCCATTCTTCTTCAACGGACCGTTCTGTGCCTTCCGCTGCCGAACACTCTGCATGTGCCGCAGTTGTCCTAAGGGGGCTGATGTTCTGCTGATTCAAGTGTCTGATTATAGCACCGACATTCTGGACAATCCGCGACCGGGCACGCGTGGGACCAACCACCGTCGCCGACACAGTGGGGGAGCATGTGCGGACTCGGTCACTAGGTCACTAGCACGACGCGTCGATCGCAAGGGTGCAAGGCGAGTGATGGCGGGGTGGGGTGCGCCGCTCTACGAGTAAAGCTGTGCGGATGCCCGCATGCGACGTGCATGATGTGCACTCTCGGCACTCGCTTGCATCCCAGCATGCAGAGCACATGCACGATGCGGGGTGCGGAAATAGACGGCGCCGACCCAGGACCCGGCAGCTCATCTGCTGGCATCAGGCTCGACAGGCTCATATCAGTTCGTTTCCGGGGGTGGAGGCACGCTCCACCGATCCACCGATCGACACGCGTCAGTGGCGCGCCACGCGCTGCGCTGCGCATTATGGTTCATCCGACCCTCCTTCATCCTCGCAATCGCTCTTATGTCAACAACAACTCTCAGTATAGCAGCAAGGTCATGCAGTTGGGAGTGGAAAGCTGGCCCCAGATCGGCCTGACCGCTATTATCTGCGTAGACTAGGATGAGGTTGATTCTGGGGGTCATTCAGGCAGACGACAGCAAAGCAGCGTGGTCCTCCGACGAATCACCGAACGAATGGGCCGGGGCACATCACCGACCGACTGGGTCTCCACACCGAGCGGCTGACACGTCCGCTTTGAGCACGTCGACGTTAACGGCAGCCCGTGATCTACGGCACCGAAGCACTCGGCACGCGTCGGCATGACGCTATTCTGCTTCGACGGGGGGGTGGCCCTAGCGTGTTCGAGTGGCTTTGCGGGGTAGGAACGCAGGAACGAAGAAAATGGGCTGGCTGAGACATTGCTGAGACATGTGCCAGCGCCAGGTTGCGAGCAGAGAGTGTCTGGGGAACTGATCAGAGCTATACTTAGCACATGGCGCAGAGGTCCGGAGCGGAGTTTCTTATCGCAGTCATATCGAGCGCAGGGCCCTGCGACCACGAAAGGTGCGAAAGGAGGTAGGATCTGAGAGGCCGTGATGTCGGTATGGAATCTGACAACACGCCAACTCCGAGGCGGAGGGTGGCGTGTCCGAACAGGAGACAGTGGCATGGCGGCGTAGTCTGTTTCTGTTCTCTCTCACCACCTCCTGTGATCCTATCTGCCTGGCTCCTTACGTCTAAGTCTGGCCTGTCAATGACACCAGTCATGCCTCGCTTCGTCCATGTTCTCGGGGTCAGCTTCACCAACCCGATCATGTGATCATAACTCTAAAGACTAACCATAGTCAGCAGTTGTCGTTAGGAGGAAGATGCTGCAGTGGGGCACCGTTGAGGCTGCGGAGGCATCGAGACGTTTCCCCCCACTCTCGCAGCTGTCCCCCGCATTCCGTCGAGGAATGCTGACGGAGTCCTCTCCGCAGGCGTACTCCCCCGCCCCGCATGATGTCTCGTGTCAAGCTCATGATGCCGAGTGTGCCGGTCGATCGCCCTCGGAGAGAAGCGACTAACCAGACATCGACAGCGGCGGCATTCGCCAAACCTCGGGTGAGCTCAAGCGACAACGGTCAGTACGTCCAGCCGAGACGGGCTTTGATGACTATGACTGGGCTATTCCTGTCCGCTGTTGTCTTGTGACTATGTCTCTACCCACGCATGACCGAAATGCGGAGGAAACATCAGAGATGGACCCCCCCCCCCCGCCCTGTGCACCTGACGCGAGAGTCATGACGAAGTCGGGGTTCAGTTGTCGTGGATTCAGGCTGGGCTATGCTAAACCCGTCAAAATTCGGGGCCCAGAGAGACTGAGAATGGCTCTTCCAGAGTTGCCCCATAGGCCCCTGCTCCCCTCAGAAGCGCGTCCCAGCCGGTCATCCTCATATCACCCTGCGCCTCCTGAGCATCGCGAAAGTGGGTGTAGAATCGGAAAATCCCCGGAGAATTGTCAAAAACGACAGGCACCTCGGTATAATCCGACCGCGGCATTCCGAACATCCAACGCTCGTATAGTGTAGGTGGTTATCACCGTCCGTTGTGGTTTATCGTTACACCCCGATCCGGGCTGACCGCTGTTCGACTCAGCGTGCGAGCACGTATTTTTGCTTTTGCGGGGAGCGATGAAGCGGATGGCCGTCGATATCGCGCCTTTGCGTTCACTTGACATGCATTGTGTGTTACTGTCGGTTAGGCTCTGTGCTGGGCGCGAACAGGCCAGTAGGGATGTGCTTGCGGACTGTCGCGCAAGCTCTCAACGCAGCCACCTAAGAACAGCTGTAAAATACCAGCGACGTCATTCGCGCCTTCTTTCCTTTTACCCCCTCGCCCATGCGTAGCGGTACAAAAACTTGCATGATGCTGATTACTTGCTGTAGATGTCTAACTGATTGACTCCGACCCTCGGTTTAACAGGCAGACGGGCAGATGCTCCTCTCACCCCTGCAAAATCGTCCTTCTACTAGATCCTTCCCCAGAACTTCTTCAAGAACAGCGACCTCGATATCGTCATGAGCACGATACCGGCGCCCAGCATGCTGCCAGCATAGTAGCTGACCTGATGGAAGCTGGTCGCCTCCAGAATGGCGCCGCACACGGGCGCGTTCAGGAGTGATCCAAACGCCATGATGGTGTTGCACGTCCCAAACCTTCGCCCGTTATCCTCGACGCTTCCGAGTGCGCCAATGGCGGGCGCGACGAGGGACACGAAGCATCCCTGGAATATACCGTTGATGACCGCCACAGCAGTCAATGACCCCTTGGAGGTCGCGTACGGCCACGCAAACGTCGTGACCATGCTGCACACCAGCCCGGGGATGAGGAAGTTGACGCTGCCCCACTTGTCGGCGATGTAGGCGGGGCCGATGCGGCCGAGGAGACTGCCCGCGTTCGCGATACTGATCAGGTACACGCTGTAATCGCCCAGGCCGAGGCTCTTGCCCATCACGTCGAGGAAGGAGAGGGGCGTGTACAGCCCCGCCTGGATGAAGAAGCACGACGCGACCCAGAAGGACCAGTAGGGCATCTTGAACGCGCGGAGGTTGAGGACTCCGCCCGGCGCGGATTTCGGCGGCAGTCTCGTCCTCAGCACGCACGACGCAAACAGCGTGCAGTACAGCACGAGCAGGCCCGAGATACGCATCGTCCACTTGAACCCGACGAGGCGCATGCAGCGGCTCACGAGGATGGGGAACACGGTTCCGCCCAGACTGGAGCACACGGCGACCAAACCGAGAGCAAAGGCGCGACGGCGGTGGAACCACTGCGCCGTCACGGCCACGGCGGGGCAGAAGAGGAGTCCGACTGAGAAACCGAAGAGAATGCCGTGGGACAGGATCGCTTGCCAGAACGCGGTCACTTCGGCCGTGATGATGATGCTGAAGGGGTAGAGGAGCGAGGCGGTCCAGAAGTATGGCAGGAAGCGGGCTTGGTCCACTAGCCGACCCATGACGACTGAGGGAAGGAAGATGAGGAGGTACTGCATCGATCCGATCCAGCCGCTGGATGTTAGCTTGAGCACCGCAGACGATGAGCGGAGTGGCCGGGGTGAGTGCTCGGGAGGGCGAGAGCCAGCTCGATGCCGTCGTTGCCCCCAATCCCTCACTCCCGCGCGAGTACACTCACATGGTGGAAGCACTCTGCTCGGGAAACTTGTGCGTGTAGTAGTCCTGGAACGTGCCCCAGGCGTTCTGTCATCAGCCCATCTTCTTCACCGTGTCATCAAGATGACCGTGGTCTGCTACAGCCTGAACGCCCATCGCTGTCTGGCTCTTCCCCGCCAGTCCCCCACCCCTGCTTCCAATCCAACAGCAGTTGCAACAGCCCAATACTCACAACAAACCCAAAGGTGCAGAACAGCGTATGCCCCGCTCCAAGCACGACAAGCCACGCCCTCCACCCTCCATCGGGGAACGTGACGACCGTGCCATCGCGTTCCCTAACCCCCTCTTCATCGGCATGATCGTCCTCGTGGGGATGGTGCGGATTCCCGTCCCAATGCCCGATATGGTTCGCCTTATCCTGTGCCTCGAGCGCGGCGAGGTCTGCGTTCGTCATGGTGTACCCGCCCTCCCCATCTGCCTTGAGCACGCCGTTGCCATTCGGCGTGCTGTAGGCCAGGTCTCCATTTGGCAGCTTCTCCGTGACAGCTCCGTTAGTCTTCTCGGCAATATCTCCCTCGGTCGCCGTGAGGGGCGTGTCGCTTGGCCCCTTGAAGGTGCCGTCGGCCGTCTTTAGGTCGCCCAAATCCGTCCGCGAGCGGTCGTTCAGTGTCGCGCTCGTGCTCATCGTGCTCTCTGTTGTTGGCGTCCAGGCATCTTTCTCGCTATGCGGTGTCTCCGGAGTTGGACCAGACATGGCCCCGTTCAGCGTCGTGGAGGGGTCCTTTGGCGCCGCGGCGGCTGGTTCAGCGGCGGAAGCTCGGGGTGCAGGGAGTAGGAGCGGGCTGTGGGGTTGTGGGGTGGGCGATATTTTTGGACGATGGTTGTGCCGAATTCGTCGTTGCCGTTTGAGTTCGTTGTCGACGTCGAGCTCGTCTAGATACACAAGTGATATGAACAGTCAAGAGACAGTGATGATTGTTAAGCAACGCTTGAGGGCTCGCCCCCGCCGCCGGGGGCCGCAATGTGCTCCGCGCGCGGACAGCGGACAAAGGCGGACGAGCGGCGCGGCGTTGAGCCAAGGGGTTAGTTACCGAAAAGGCGAGGAACGGACGGGCATCACCGAAGGCTACACTCTACGACGAGCCGAGCGTTCCCCGGCCACTCAACCCACCACCCCTCTACCGGCCGTTGGGTCGCTTGCGTCGGCGGGCGCTAGGCACACAAAGGCACTGGCGGTTAAACCATGCGCGTGTATGCCGTCAACTTGCTCGTGATTGATAATCCTCCCACCGAGGGAATGCTAATCATGTGACTTGGAATTCGTATTGCATCTTCTTAACATACTTCCCTGTGATCTAGACGGAGTGGCAGCACGCGGCACACTGGTACATTGGGCAGCGGTGCGGGGCACTCAGCGGGGTCTGCCGAACGGTTACGGGTGTAGCTCGGAATGTTGCTGCATTGGCCAGCTACGGACGAGGTGTCCACCTGGACCACGAGAACACGGGGCCACGCACTGAACTCTTGTCTGCCCCTTGATGCCAAGCATCCGATTGCGAGGTACACATCCTGCGACATTGGACTCTCGGGAGCTCAGCCTTGACTTAGTCAACGGCAGTCGCGTGACCCCGTCAGGCATGGCCAGGCAGTGCCGTCAAGACAGGCTAGAGTGAGTCTCATGTGTGCTCTGCTCTTGGCGCGGAATGTCGATCGGCGGTCGCGAGCAAGTCAGCGGTTCCGGCATGCAGGTGCGGAACATGGATGGCTGCTAGCGGGGTTCCAGCGTTCCAGCGAACTGCACTGCTCGTTACCTGCTACGCACCCGAGTTGCTTTGAACTACTCCCAACTCATACAAAGCCGCTTAGACATACAGCACACTCCGCATGCGTAGGGCTGCGCTGGAGTATGCAGCTTGTGACCGAATGCTTGTTATTAAGGCAACCTGAATGGCCGCTGCGGCGAGGGCCACAGGGTTTGCATGACTGTCCGGCTCTGGTACGACGTTGTGGACCGGGCGGTGATGGTCGTATGGTCGGTTGCGCGCTTGTCGGATGATATTTGCCTGGGTCGTGGACCTGGGCCTGGTGTATCCTGGGAGCTGGGAGTTGTGCTTTTCCTGAGTTCAGATGTGAGAGCAGCCTGTGAGATGCGTTGTTGGCTGAGCATGGCGGAGGATGGGGGCCTATGACGAAACCGCAAACCACAATATTCAGGACGGCGGTGTCAGGATTCTGGCTTGCTCTGGCGTGGGCGTGGGCTGCGACAAGTCCTGGGCGCCGGCGCAGGCTGACAGCTGACAGATTGATGATGGGCAATGCCGCCTGCGCCGCTGCAATGGCTGCAAAGTCAGTCGTACTCCCCGTCGCTTGCGAGAGAGAGGGCGGAGGGGGGCGAGGTTTGAGAGGGGCAGCAGCATGACGTTGTAGAATTGGAAGAGAGGGCTTTAGACGACAGCATCTGTGAATTCAAGGCGCGGCGCGAAGGCTGATGACTGGGTTCGGTGGAGGTGCGTTGGAGATGGTTCCGGCATGGACAGAGGTCGTCTGGCCGGTGTGGGCCCATCTGCACCAACTACCACGCTATCCCACCCTGCACCGCACCCTGGCTCTCGCTGGGCACCTGGCACCGGGGCTTGCTCCCTCCCACTCCCATGTCATTCCAACTCCTCAACTCGTCTCTTCTCTCTTTCCTCTTCTCTCATCTTGCACAAGGGTCTCACAGTCATCGTCTCGTTTTCTTTTCTCTCTTTGGCTTTCTTTCCTCTCTCTCTCTCTCTCTCTCGTCTCGTTCCGGGTTCTCGGGTATCATCAAGATCAAAGACCACCAAAAACTGCATCATCTCTCCACGACCAGACAACTCAAAGTCCATCCCCCCCTTTCCCAAACGGCATTCCCATACCCCACCCCCGCCCACTTGCATAACTTCCAAGATCAAGACAGCAAAGCTACTCCCCTAACCACTTCGACACGCACTACAGTCCGACCCTCCCCTTCCTCCCCTCCCCCTCTCCGCAACTTGCATTAACCCTCCCCCTGTCTCTGCCAAATGTCGCAACCGTTCCCTCCTTTCGCCATGTCCAACAATCAGGCCGCCGAGGCGCCTAAGAAGCCCCATCTCTACATCGGTAACATGTCGCCTCGCGTCACCGATCAGATGCTCGCCGAGATCTTCTCCGTCGCCGGGCCCGTCGTCTCTGCAAAGATCATTCAGGATCGCAATTTCCACCACGGCGGCTACAACTACGGCTTCGTCGAGTACACCGACATGCGCAGTGCTGAGCAAGCACTGACGACGCTCAACGGTCGCAAGATCTTTGACTCTGAGATCCGCGTCAACTGGGCCTACCAGGGTCAGGGCAACCGCGAGGACACGCAGCACCACTTCCATGTGTTTGTCGGTGACCTCAGCCCGGAAGTGAACGACGACATTTTGGGCAAGGCGTTTGCCAAGTTTGCGTCGCTGAGCGAGGCTCGCGTCATGTGGGACATGAACTCGGGCAAGAGCCGAGGATACGGCTTCCTCTCCTTCCGGTGAGTACTTCTTAGTCGTGTGCGCACACTTTCAAGGCTGACCAGAGCAGTGACAAGGCAGATGCAGAGCAGGCGATCGCCACTATGAATGGCGAGTGGCTCGGATCTCGGGCTATTCGTGTCAACTGGGCGAACCAGAAGACGCAGACGGGCGGTTCTCGCAGTCTTGGCCTCGGTCAAGGCTTCAACGGCCCTCTGACGTTCGAGCAGGTCGCTGCTCAGACCCCCGACTACAACACGACTGTGTACGTCGGAAACCTGATCCCCTACACGACGCAGGCGGACCTCATTCCCCTGTTCCAGAACTACGGCTATATTGTCGAGATCAGGATGCAGGCCGACCGCGGGTTTGCGTTTGTCAAGCTGGACACGCACGCCAACGCCGCCCTATCCATCACGTCGCTGCAGAACCAGCTGGTCCACGGCCGCCCCATCAAGTGCTCCTGGGGCAAGGACCGCCAAAGCGACGCGCCTGGATACATGGTGCGTCACGCCTTCTCCGAGAGGCCTGACTTCCAGATGTACACCAACAACTACCCATACTTCCCCGGGTACGGGGGTATCCCCGGCCAGCCTGGAGCGCAGTCTCCCGGTCCTGAGAACGGATCAGCTCCCCCTCCCCCACCCACTTGGGACCCCGCAGCGGCAGCTGCCTACTACCAGACCGGCGGCTGGGGCGGCTTCTACAGTGAGTCTGCAAAGACAGCGACCCAGTGGCAGCAGCTGACCAGCTCCTAGGCCAGGAAGCCGCCGCCGTCCCGGCTGCCCAACCTACTCCCCCTAACTAAATTTTAATGTATATTCACAATCACTTTGGCATGCAATACGACATACGTCATATGACTGGGGGCCAGAGGGGCTGATGGGCATCGATGGAGATCGGAGGGCTTGATGCCGAGCAGCCACGGGGGGTTCGCGATGGACACGACTGACACGGAACTCCGTCTGTGATAACTGAGGCCATCAGTGACGGGGAGGTAATGATCAGAGCTTGATGAAAGAGGCGTCAGCTGTCATGGCTGCACGGACCGGGACTGATGGGGGCGCAGCTTTGACCTGCTCAAACAAGCCAGTCGCGCTACAGTATGGGTCGTTAGAGCTTTCTGACTCGATTCAATCGGAGCCGCGGTGTAAGGACAAGTGATAGCGAGCGAAGAACACGAGGACCTAGTAAGCTAGTGACGTGACGATAGTGCATGAATACAAGAATGATATGAGTGGTGTCCCGAGCTTGAAGGAGCTTACGTCCTCCAGCTCTCCGAGACGTGATGCAATGCTGATGCGGCTGACCACATGGCCATGAGATGAGCCTCCCTCCTTTTCCCTTCACACAACGCTGCTTTATGGCAGATTGCGTCCCTCCATCTTAGCCTTGAGCTGGGCGATCTTCTTGTCAATGTCGTCGCCCTCCTTGAGGAGGTCTTTCCGCTGCTCCTCGAGCCTGGGGAACGTTCAGCTTACGAACATGAACAAGACAGCTGGAAACTCACTGGACAATTCTGGCCCTGTTCGCACGCTCCTTGACCTTGTGGTCTGCCTCTGGGGTGACCTCCATCTCCTTGCTGAGGAAGTGCTCCTTGATCGCAAGACCACCGTAGAAGGAGACTACGCAGAGGTTAGCAACACGAAACAAAGGGAGGGGAAAGAGTCAGATGACTCACGGGGCACAACAATAACGGCGCCTGCAATGGCGAGCTTTCTAATATTGGTCAAAAGCATTGTGGGAGGGTTGGAAGGCAGAGAGCAGACTGAACAACAAAAGCTCGAAATCGAAAACAATCGGTCAGTGCCGGTTGGTGGCCAGGCTGCGGGCTCAGGTTCCAGGCAATATTGGGCGGATCTCGCAGAGTGGAAATAAGCTTTTGTAATCGGGATCTAATCGAGGTGGGCTGACTACTTGACACTGGACTTCACGTCATTAGGACGGTGAATTGGTTCCTGAGAGTGTGGCTTAGGCAGGTTAGCGTTTGGTCGCCCTTTGGTTCAACCCACCCACCGTCCGGTGACCCTGCCTTTCTTCAAAACATCCACCTACCTCAACTCATCAACTACATCATTCTCTCTCGTCTTATATCCCTCGTTCCTTCCAACCACCACCCTCCTTCGACCTCCTTTTCGCGATCCCCGGCCCCGACCACCTGTCACCCTCCCCTCCGACCCCTCTCCCCACACCGGGCAACCCGGCAAGCGGCGCCAATGCCCCGCGCCGCTGCCGCTCGCGACACTCCCGCCGGATCGCGCGACACTGGTCTTCCCTATCCCGCCGAGGACCTGTCCGAAGATGACGACCTCTTCTCCTTCCTCCTCGTCGACCAGCTCGGCATGCGTGCCCAGACCAAGCTAGGCGTCCACCCCCAACAGGTCAAGTTCATCGGCCCTGCCCACAATCGCGAAGATGTTTTGAATATCCTCAGGGAAGTGAGTGCTCCGTCTCGGTCTCGGTCGCGCGGCTCCGATTGCTTGTCAACAACAACAACGGAATCTGCAAACCGCACTTTAGCTTTACGTTACGTCCACAATCCTCCCCCTCTATGCACATGGTAGCTGACAATCCTCACAGACGGTACTTCGAGGCACCGATCCCAATATTGCGGCGCAGCGGCTAGCAGAGTGAGTAAGCCCTTCTTGTGGCACGCTGCGATCGACACGCGACTGACGCTTCTCCTAGGCTCCCCGTCATCAAGGAGCATCTGGCCTCGAAGCAGACGGACAAACAACGCGAGAAGACGATGCTGTGAGTTGCGACGTTATCGAGCATAACTGACGGCCAGGCATTTGCGACGATATTGCATGATTTACGCGCCGACGTCGCGAGTGGAGATCTATCGGACCGAGAGGTACGAGGAGATCACGAAGCATCCCGAGCTCGCCGTGTTTGCGACGCGTCCGCTCCTCGAGGGAGAGGTCGTCATGGAGCTGCAGGGCACCTGTGTTCTGCTTCCCGAAGAGTGGCGAATGGAAATGGACGTGTCGGAACGTTTTGCTGCGGAGGATGACCTGGAGGGGCTGGAGATGGACGACGACGAACAGCCGGCCGAATCATCCACCGCGGCTGTTCGACGGAACAAATCGCAGGAACCCCGAGGCGCTCGCCGGAGCACCCGCACGCGGCGAAGAGACTTCAGCATCATCTGGTCGGGCATGAAGAATGCGTACATGCTCTTCCTCGGTCCCGCCCGCTTCCTTAACGTAAGCTCCATCCCTGGGACGTGGCTGACAGTAGCACGATTGTAACCCGAACGTCGAGCTGCTCAGGCAGGGGCCGTCCTGTGTGTCGTTTCGCGTCCTCCGTCCTATCAAGATAGGCGAGGAGCTAACGACATTCTATGGAGAGGACTACTGTGAGTTGTGTGTCTTCGCCGTATAACTGACGCCGCAGTTAGTAAAGGCAACTCCGAATGGTGCGTATACAATTTTTTCGAGGTTCGTTGCTAACGGATTTAGTCTTTGCAAGACTTGCGAGGACACCAAGCGGGGCGGCTACCAGCCTGGAGGTGTTATGGAGCTGGCGAGGATCGGTCTGGAGAAGCTGGAGCGGTCACGAAATGGTTCCGTAGCGCCGTCATCGAAAGGCCAGGTCAACGGTTACGCCCGGTCCGAGGTGGATGACTCGGTGTACGAGGACCCGGGGACGCCAGCATCGTCATGCGTTGTGAGCACGCCGCAGAAGAACGGACAGTGCTCTGTGTCGGCGGCGTCACCCAGCGTGGACACCGCGGCAGGGAGCGAAGAGGAAGACGTGGTCCGTCGGGAACGCCCGATGCGACAAGCCCGAATCAATTCAAAGCCCCTGCAGTGGCACAAGCGGCCACCGTCTCGAAAACAGCGCGCGCAGACGGCAACGCAACATCCTCTAGTGGCTGTCGAGGCGGACGACACGATTCGTTGTGTCACCTGCGCGTGCGCTCTCGAGGACCGGGAATGGGACCCGCTGACGAGCTGGGCCGATTTTTGTCCGCGCTGCTATCGTCACGCGATCGTGTTCCAGCTCCCGTGGCCGGCGCACCGGGCTCAGGATGTTAGGGAATATCCTCCAGTCCACCTGATACCTCCCGGGTACTGGCCGCGGAAGGTTACGTCTGTGTCGCTGCCGTCTCTGAACCCGGTGCGACACAAGAAGAATGCCGTCGAGCCAGAACCCGTGCAGCCCGTGTACGACCAGGTGCTCATTCCCGACACGCGGGAGATGCGTCGTGCGCGCAACTTCCGCCTGGCGATCGAGCGCGAGGAATGCGTCATCGAGCAGCTCCGCGTTGCCGCATGGGAGCAGCAAGAGACGCGCGAGCTCGCCGCCATTGCAGCGCAGGAGCGCCGCGACGCGGCCAAGAAGGCGCGCGAGGAAGCAAAGCGGAAGCGCAATGAGGGTAAGATCCGCGGCTCGGGTCTCTGGCAGCGATACGAGTACCAGCCTGTCGAGGAGATCGAGAAGCGCATCCGCGAACGCACGACAGTTGTTAGCGGCACGCGTCGTGGCGGCCGGTATCGCCAGGACAGCGATGAGGAGGACCTCGCGCGCCGGGCTCAGGAAGCCCTCAACGCCGATCTCAAACGCGAGAAGGAACTGCAGGAGCGCAACAGGCGATACCGCATGAAGGGGCAGGAGGACGCGTCGGACGACGACGACGCCGAGGACGAGCGCGACGAACAAGAGGCTGCGGCGGCTCTCGAACCGGCGCCGGCAGCTGCTCCGGCAGTCGACGTCAAGCCGCCGCAAGCACGGCTTGGCTTATCGTCCCGACTGCCTGGAAGGACACCCGATGTCGCGTCGCCCGCATCCATCAAGCAGTCGCCACAGTCTGCGCCGCGTAGCGCGGTCCGCCGCACGCCGCAGGTCACGGAGACGATCGACTTGACAATGTCTGACAGCGACGAGGACGCCAAGGCGGCGGCGCGGCCAAAACGTCCACTTCCCAAGGCGTCTGCGCCCATTACGCCGTCTCCGGCGACAGCGCGCACTTCTGCCGGCTCTGTCAACCCCTCTCCCGCGCCGTCTGGCGCGACGACCGACTCCCCCGCCTCTCGCCGCAAGCGCGGTCGTCCCCCTGGCACTGGGTACAGGCAGAAGCGCGAGGCGAAGCGTCTGGAGCGAGAGGCGCGCCAGCGCGAAGTCATGCATACTGCCGGCATTGCCGCCGGGCTCGTTAAGGCGAACGGAGTGCCTCCTACGGTCAACGGGGCAGTCAATGGGACTCGCCCTGTACCTGCCGCGGCTAGTGAGCCGAAGGCGCCAGTGACCACAGAGGAGAAGAGTCCGAGCCAGCTGGTCAACGGCGACACAGCGAACGGGTGGGGTGCCTCGCGCGTCACGAACGCGATCAGCGGCACGATCAGCGCGGCGAAGCGCGTTCTCACCGACTCGTCACGCCTGCACATGTCTCCCTCGCCGGTGCGCAAGACGCACGCGAACGGCCTCGTCTCGCCTCATCTCCGGGAACCCCCCGCGCCGGCACCGGGAGCTTCTGCAGATGAAGCTTCTCCGCCGTCCTACGACGAAGGGGTCGTGTTCGACGTGCCCCTCAGCTCCTCGAAGCGAAAACGCGTCTCGGACGCTTCCGTGGCGAGCACAGGGAGCACAGGAAGCGTGGTGCCGCCGCGAAAGAAGCGGACGTTCTTCAAGAGCGTGTTCACGTCGCCGAAACCGCCCAAGGCGCTCGACCCCAAGACCAAGACACACACTAGCGCTGATGTGTTACGGCCTTTCGCTAGTCCGAAGATTAAGAAGAAGCACCTTGACCCGCGCGATGGGAATGACGCTTACTCGCTCTCGAGGCTGATGTGGAGTGGTCGCGGGTGAGGCAGCGCCAGCTGCCGAACTGCCGGGTATCTCGCCAGCAGTTAAGAGCTTTAGCGGGGCATCGGCCGGAGTCCGGCGAACGGCGCGGTGAGATCGGGCATGACGGACATTCTTCTCCATCAGAGTGCAGTTGGCATTCTGTCTTTTCGTTCTTGACACTTTTTTTCCTGGTTCCTCTAGAGGTTACCCCCTTCCTCCGCCACCTAGAGTTAAGGAAGTTGCCCCCCCCCCTTTGCATCAGTAGTAGCGCATGCAGATGTAGCTGTAACGGCGAGCGGCCGCGGCCGTCAGGCCGTTGGCCGCGGGGCGGGTGATCGCTGGAGAAAGGAGCGAAGAAGGAGGGGGAGGGTAGACCAGACTGACATGGTTGCAGAAGTCTGACATCATTACTTGCCACAAGACATGCTTGAGAGATGACGAAAGGGGCTTGCGGTGACCAGCATTCGACTCTGCACTGTCGTGCCTCCACTCTGCACGTCTGCATATTCTGCACTCTGCCTAGAAGTGGGAGGAGCGAGATGCGCAGTAAACCATACAGCGTGTCGGGTTCAGGGACACCCTACGCGGCGCGGCGAAGCCTGACTTGCCCGTGGCCCGTAACCCACACGCGCAACCTGGACGAATCACACGCTCGTCAGAGGTTGCGATCGAAAGCTTCAGCTTTGGACGCGTCTCGATCTCCCCTTCCTTTTCCTCTAGGCTAGTCCAAGATCGCGCCGAAAGGCTGACAGGTTGAAGGACTGCGCTCGCAGTTTGTTCGCAGCGTGGCTGTAGTTTGGCGTCACTGTCTTCTTCACTCCTCGTACTCCTCACTCCTCCCAGAAAGAAACACTAGGAAGGCTCGAGGATTGGTTGGATTGGCTGGATTAGAACCGGTGCCACGGTTCCTGCTCTTCCGAGCGAGCGTGAGCGACTGACTGGTGATGCTGTGCCTGGGAAGCCTGCCGCCTGAATAAGTCTCGTCCAGCTTGCTCTAATCCTAAGATCCTAAGAGCGATGCAGTAATCGCCCCTCTTCCCCTTTCTAATAGACGGGTTACCCTTACTCTCCCCTCCATGAGCTAGCTCCATATAACCTGCGTCTGGCGCTGATCAGAGTTCGCGGAACCAAGCTGGCACGATGACCGAAGGGGAGGTGCCATGGAGCTGGGTCGGTCCGACTGGGAGGGCACACCGGGAAACACGGCACGCTCCGGACGGCGGAAGCGGCATTGTACGGCAAGGCGCGCAAGGCGGCACGGTGAATACAACGCGGCATGAATATGGGGTGAATACGGTGACTTTGAATACAAAGCCTGGGGGAGTGAAATGTGCCGTTCAATCCCCACCCCGCCCCGGCCAGCCCCAACTTTCCCACCCACGCTCTCCCACCCAGGCAGCCAGGCAGGCAGTTCGACGCGACGCGCCCGTCGATCCTTCCTTCCCCCAGAGTCGAGCGGATCCCGCGATCCTGCATACGGTACCGGACCGACTGTCGAGCGGATGCGTTGATCCGCCCCTTTGATGTGGGTGGTTTCGTTTTCACACACGCGTCCATCTTTACGGTTAATCCTTCCTTTTGGCCCCCACATGCACAGCAACATGATATTACCTCTTAACCACGCAATGCATGAAAACTTTCACTTGTATTGCCCCATCTGCCCCCCATGGCCGCCCCTTGCCGCCCCAGACATGACAGACGCTGAGGTATGCGACAAGGTGCGGACTCTAGTTTGAAAGCCAGCCCCCAAATTAGCTGCCAAGAGGGATGTAAGGATCGACTGGCTGTCTGGATCCAGACTTGGTAGGGACAGACTGTGAACAACGTGCAATAGTGGTGAGCCAGTCGGTTGACCCGTCCTCCACTCTAGCCATGGTGGACCCAATGCTGAATGCGGAACCTGGTGAACCCAGTGCTCGGACAGTCTAACAGCAGACACGCACGCGTACGCACGAGTGTGGGGGTGCCGCCGGATACTGCGGTGGGCTGTGAGCTATGACAGTGCAGGAGGATGATTGGGATGCACGGTGTAGCAGCGCTCAGCGGCGTTGGCTGGCTGGCCATGGCTGGGGCTCAGGATGTTCAGGTCCAGGGCCATACGTCAGGACTGTTGCAGCGCAGGACGGCAGAAGTGGCCAGGGACAGACACTCGGACCTGACGGGCATGACACAGTCCTGAGCCTGGCTCTCACTCTCTCCCCAGTTGGATGGATGGACACTCTCCCTCTCCGCACCGGGTCATCTGCCCAGCCAGCACTGCACATCACTCCCATACCCCCCGCCTCCTCTCCCACATCTTGAGTCTTCCTCATCTCTCCCTTTCCCTCTGTGGAAACAACACTTCTACTTACACCCAACTAATCATCCCTCGTCCTCCGACCTCATCTCTCCTTCCCCTTCTCCGACCCTTCCTACCCCGCCGCCCACTCACGCTCGCTACAATGGCTTCCCTCCAGACACCCCAGGCTCAGTCCGCCCGCCAGCGCGGTCACTCCTCCATCGTGAGTACACCAACACTTCCTCGCACACACACACTCGGAACAGCAGCGATCAAGCTCTGGGATAGCTGGCATGGAGCTCTGGCAGCGACATCGGTTACAGATGCTCGCCCAGCCCTTGCTGCCGATAGCCAGCAGCCAGCCCCAGACACTCCCGAGACCATCGCCGAGGTGCCAGGAACCCCACACCGTGCATCGTGACTAAGCCCGAGACGGATCGCTGACCACATCGCTCTTCCCCGCCTCCTCTCTACCCGCTCACTACCGCTTCTGACGACTCTTGCCGGACTGATTGACACTCCGACCAACTCACGGCGTCATACGTGTCACTGAATCGGGCCCTCACCTCCACCGTCCCTGCCCCCTTTGAACGTGAACCCTTGCTTTACCCCGTGCCTTTGCCGCGAACGCTGCACTCTCCGGCATCATCACGCTGGCTGGTCTGGGAATCCCGTCTCGCACGTTGTTCTGGATGGCTTGAACGATCCGCTGCTTGCTTGACACTGTACGGCGCTGAAATTTCGCCCCGCCCACCCCGCCCGGCTGCACCGCTCTCGCCCTCGGCGTGCCGCTCGCACTACCGCTACGATCGATGACGCGCATTCCCACACGCAGGACTTCAAGTCGGCCACCACCGGTGTCGCCGCCAAGGCCATGCGCAATGAGCTCAACCGCATGGTCCAGGGCGTCACTGACCCCGCCAAGAAGAAGGTGAGTAGCGTCAGCCCACGGAGACTTCTAGACGCCGTGCCGTACCCGTCTGGCGCAAGCTTCGCCCAGCTTCGCGCGCTTCTCTCGCCGGACCCCAGCTGTGTATCGAACACACAGAAGCTGCTCCGACACGCTGGGCGCCGGCAGTGTGACACGTCGCAAGCCGTCGCCCGTGCTGGCCAATACTGGCCCCGCGCAATCACAAATCGAGCTCGGACCCGCCCAGGCGTGCTGCGCAGCATGTGTCATGTACCATGGACCGCCAGCGCCAGCCGCGCTAAGCCGCGCCCCTGTCCTTGCAGGGATGAACGTTGCTTAATCGGCGCGATTCTGCGATTTGTGATCGGCTCGGTCCTCCAGCATCAGGCTATCGCGCACATGCACATGCATGCACGCGCCTGCTCTACGGCCGCTATCGCGAGCAGTGCGAGTTGGGCACGTCGCTAGCCCAATTACCATCGCGGTGCTATCGCAGCCTTTGCCGTGGTGGCGGGCGCCACCCGGTCCGCGCACGGTGGTCATCGCTCCCGCTAGCTTCCCGGCCCGGACTGACAATAACAGATCTTCAACGCCGAGATGGAGTCCTTCTTCCTCCTCTTCAACCGCTACCTGACCGAGAAGGCCAAGGGCGAGCGCATGTGAGTAAACTGGCGAGACTGCAAATTGCATGCAGTCGATGTGCAGCTTCGAAATGAGTACTCAGCTGACTTCCCAGTGACTGGGAGAAGATCCAGCCCCCCAACCCCGAGCAGGTCCGCCCCTACGAGGTCCTCCCCAATGTCGACCCCTCGATCCTCAACAAGCTCGCCGTCCTCAAGCTCAACGGTGGTCTCGGAACCACCATGGGCTGTGTCGGCCCCAAGTCGGTCATTGAGGTCCGTGAGGGCATGACCTTCCTCGACCTCTCGGTCCGCCAGATTGAGCACCTCAACGAGAAGTACAACGTCAACGTTCCCTTCATTCTCATGAACTCGTTCAACACGGACGAGGACACCCAGCGCATCATCCAGAAGTACCAGAACCACAACATCTCCATCCTCACCTTCAACCAGTCCCGCTACCCCCGTGTCGACAAGGAGTCGCTCCTCCCCTGCCCCGAGAACGCCGACTCTGACAAGTCGAACTGGTACCCTCCCGGACACGGTGACATCTTTGACGCTCTCACCAACTCTGGCCTCCTCGACCAGCTGATTGCTGCCGGCAAGGAGTACATCTTCATCTCCAACGTTGACAAACTCGGTGCCGTCGTTGACCTCAACATCTTCCAGACCATGATCGACTCCCAGGCCGAGTACGTCATGGAGGTCACTGACAAGACCAAGGCGGACATCAAGGGTGGAACCATCATTGACTACGAGGGCAAGCCCCGACTTCTCGAGGTCGCCCAGGTCCCCAAGGACCACCTCGACGAGTTCTGCAGCACCCGCAAGTTCAAGATCTGTAAGTTGACGATCGTGGATAGAAACTGATCTCAGTCAACACGAACAACATTTGGGTCAACCTCAAGGCGATCAAGCGCGTCATGGACAATGACGAGCTCAACCTCGAGATTATCGTCAACAACAAGGTCACGGACAAGGGTCAGGCCGTCATTCAGCTCGAGACCGCCATCGGTGCCGCGATCAAGCACTTCTCGTCTGCTATCGGCATCAACGTCCCCCGTTCGCGTTTCCTTCCCGTCAAGTCGTGCTCTGACCTGCTCCTGATCAAGTCGTCGCTCTACAACCTGCAGCACGGTGTGCTGTCGATGGACAAGTCGCGCGAGTTTGGCGGAACCCCCGTCGTCAAGCTCGGCGACCAGTTCAAGAAGGTTGCCAACTTTGAGAAGCGCTTCAAGTCGATCCCCAACATCAAGGAGCTCGACCACCTCACTGTTTCCGGCGACGTCTGGTTCGGAAAAGGCGTCCGTCTCGCGGGAACCTGCATCATTGTCGCCACCGAGGGCAACAAGATTATGATCCCCGACGGAACCAACCTCGAGAACAAGCTTATCACTGGCAACCTCAGCATTATTGACCACTAAGCGGCGCGACGCCGGAGCGACGCCGGAGCGCCGCAGGCGCGCGGAGGTGTCGCGTAGGCGTGTTAGGTTTATCGGAAACCCATATCGCATCGTTTAGTTATAGTCTTCCTCTCTCCCTCTCTCTCTCTCTCAACCCAAAATGCCAGCCCAACCAACAGAACATTTTCCCCACCCCAACCCATTATATACCAGCTCGATAAGCACTGTAGTGTCAAGACGCCCAACCTTAGTCTTTTTCTTCCCCTAAACCTTTGAATTATGACATTCGGTTTAAGTTGCAAGCCTTCGGTGCAATAATTTAGCGTGAGAGGACTGACATGTACGTGTGCAGTGTTAGTGGTGTTCTAGACTTTGGTGCAACGAGGGGCCATGGCAAAGTGGATATTTGGCATAGAAAAGGACTTGAGATGTATGTAAGGTGTGGACAAGCGTGCCCGGATCGTATGTTTAGCGGCGGTTCGCAGTTCCAGCGGCGCCAGTGTTAACACCAGTAGCCCTCGCCTGAGCGCCGCCGGCAGCAGCAGCGCCAGCTCCCTGCGCAGCGGGCCTCGCCTGCGCGCGGTTGCTGTTTCCAACGAGGTTGCCGCCGCCCCAAGTGCGAATAACCCTTTTGGCAGTTCCCCAGGCATTCTGCACGCCGGCGCCCTGCTTGGCGACGACGCCGTCAATCCGCCCAGTAATGCCGTCAATAGCGTTCTTGGTGAATGTGCTCTGGTGGTATCGCAGGCGGAGGAAGTGGGCGAAGAAGATGGGCGCGACGAAGCTGTTCTGGAACGTGAGCCCGCCGAGGAGCACGCGCGCAAAGATGACCAGCTCGGCGTACGAGACGAAATTCATCGCACTGTCGTAGTGCCCCTTCACCCAGGACTGGATGCGGCGGCCGAGGGACTCGGCCCAGTTTGGCTGCGCGTTGGGGCCCGAGGTCTTACTGGGGAGTTGGTCAGCTTGCTCTATCATGTGGAAAGCTTCAAGAAGTAAGAGATAGCTGGGGAGTTGAGAATGGAGAAAGGAGAAGGAAGAAGGAAGAAGGGAGACAGGAGGACGGGGCGACGGCTGGCGCCGCCGCTGGAGGTACTTACGCATAGAACTTGGGCAGAATGTTGGTGCGCAGGAAGGTCGCGCAGTGGAAGAGCGAGAACGTCGCGAACGGGAGGATCGTGACTGGCGGTTAGCTATCACTTCTTGGTCTCGCAGCTCTGTCCAGCGGGGGTGCGCGCGCTCATGTGGATTGAGACGCTCGCGCTCTCAGGCGGCGCTCGCTCGCTCGCTCAACTTGGGAGCACACCTCGTGCCCCCTCGGTGCGTTACCGAGGTCGCCGCGGACACACGAGGAGCCCGCGTTACGAGGCAGAAACCATCCAACTCTACACCGGCTCGTGCTCCTT